ATATATATATATATATATATATATATATATATATATATATATATATATATACGTTGAGTTGTGGTGTGTTATGTTGGCCGCAATGCTTTATGGGAAAGTGTTCTGACAGGAGTTATTCAGACCATGAGTGAAGTAGTTGGTGCTTAAGATATAAAACTGCACTGCTTCCTTTTTGATTTGGTTAGGGTTAGACCAATCAACCAAAGAAAACTGCAGTTTCTGAGTTGTAACAGTTCATATGTTCAACATGTTGGAGTCAGGTTTTCACACTCACAGGTGCGTGTCACACAGGTGCGTGTCACACAGGTGCGTGTCACACAGGTGCGTGTCACACAGGTGCGTGTCACACAGGTGCGTGTCACACAGGTGCGTGTCACACAGGTGCGTGTCACACAGGTGCGTGTCACACAGGTGCGTGTCTGTGGTTGTTCGGTGGAGTTTTGGTTTTGAGCTGTTTCCAGTCACATTTGAAAACTGAACTCATGATAAACGTTCAGTCGTGTCGTGCAGAGGAACACGACTCAACAGTTTTATGTTCTGAATCTTTCACTGCAGATGAAACGTGTCGCGTCTGACGTCCAAGATAAAAGTGATAAATGTGAATAAGAATGTGAAGAATCTGAACACGTTATGTCCTGTTTTCTGTCCGGTCCTTCAGTCAAACCCTCAGACCCTATGTCCTAAAAGTCAGAAAGTTTGCCCACCCCTGGACTAGACCGAGACTAGACCAGGACTAGACCAGGACTAGACCGGGTTTAGACCTGGTTTAGACCTGGTTTAGACCGGGTTTAGACCGGGTTTAGACCAGGATTAGACCGGGTTTAGACCGGGTTTAATCCTGGGGCTCGTTCTCGTTGAGACTTTCTTTAATCTTGGTCCGTTCACACTCAGATGATCTTTGTGTTTGACGTTGTGTTTCCTCTTTGTCCTGCAGACGGCAGCGTCTCTGGGAACCTGAGCACCTCATCGAGCTGCAGCGAAACCTACACCAGCTACTCCGACATCAAACCCTGAACACACCTACAGCGGGTACTCCCACATCAGCCCTACAGCGGGTACTCCCACATCAAACACCAACAGCGGGTACTCCCACATCAACCCTACAGCGGGTACTCCCACATCAAACACCTACAGCGGGTACTCCCACATCAACCCTACAGCAGGTACTCCCACATCAAACACCTACAGCGGGTACTCCTACATCAAACCTACAGCAGGTACTCCCACATCAAACACCTACGGTGGGTACTCCCACATCAAACACCTACAGCGGGTACTCCCACATCAAACCTACAGCAGGTACTCCCACATCAAACACCTACGGCGGGTACTCCCACATCAAACACCTACGGCGGGTACTCCCACATCAAACCTACAGCGGGTACTCCCACATCAAACCTACAGCGGGTACTCCCACATCAAACCTACAGCGGGTACTCCCACATCAACCTACAGCGGGTACTCCCACATCAAACCTACAGCGGGTACTCCCACATCAGACCTACAGCGGGTACTCCCACGTCAACCCTACAGCGGCTACTCCCACATCAACCCTACGGTGGGTACTCCCACATCAAACCTACGGCGGGTACTCCTACATCAACCCTACAGCGGGTACTCCCACATCAGACCTACAGCGGGTACTCCCACGTCAGACCTACAGCAGGTACTCCCTCATCAGACCTACAGCGGGTACTCCCACATCAAACCTACAGCGGGTACTCCCACGTCAGACCTACAGCAGGTACTCCCTCATCAGACCTACAGCGGGTACTCCCACGTCAGACCTACAGCGGGTACTCCCACGTCAGACCTACAGCAGGTACTCCTACATCAGACCTACAGCGGGTACTCCCACATCAGACCCTGAAGACTTTACACATCAAACACGAGTCCAATAAAATAAAACGGCACCAAACTTTAGAAATAACATTAAAATAAAATAGAATAATAGAATATTTAATCTCCAGTTTTGTTAAGCAGCGATTTCAGAAAGTCCAGAGTTTCACTTTTGAGCCACTTGAAAAACGTGAAGAATCTTCTGAAAGTGAAAGTGAAAGTGAAAGTTTGTCCCTGTTTCTGTTTCTGATCAGTATAAATATGTAGCATTTATCTAAAAAAAACAAACGTCCAAATGTTCTTGTGTGAAAATCCTGTTAGAACCACAACGACACCGACGAGAAGAACGAGGAGACACGAGCACAGACCTGGATTAAGACCTGGTTTAGTCCTGGTTTAGTCCTGGTTCAGACCTGATTTAATCCTGTTTGAATTCCTCATTTAGCCTTGTTTAAAACCTGATTTGATCCTGGTTTAGTCCCAGTTGTAGTTCTGGTTTGATCTTGATTTAAATCCTGATCAAATCCTGGTTTAGTCCTGATCGAGACCTGGTTCGATCCTGGTTTAGTCCTGGGTTTAGTTCTGGGACAGTCCTTGGTTTATAGTCCCTTGTTTAGTCCTGGTTTAGTCCAGAACAATCAGGACTGGTTCCTTCTTGGTTTAGTCTTTTGTTTTGTCTTGGCTTTAGTCCTGGTTTCATTCCTGGTTTAGTCCTGGTTCAGTCTTGGTTTAGACCTGGTTTAGTCCTGGTTTAGACCTGGTTTAGTCCTGGTTTAGACCTGGTTTAGTCCTGGTTCAGTCTTGGTTTAGTCTTGGGTTTAGTTCTGGGTCGGTCCCTGGCTTAGTCCTGGTTTTATCTTGGTTTAGTTTTGATTGAGACCTGGTTCCTTCTTGGTTTAGTCCTGGTTTAGTCCTGGTTTAGACCTGGTTTAGTCCTGGTTTAGACCTGGTTTAGTCCTGGTTTAGACCTGGTTTAGACCTGGTTTAGTCCTGGTTTAGTCCTGGTTTAGACCTGGTTTAGACCTGGTTTAGTCCTGGTTTAGTCCTGGTTTAGACCTGGTTTAGACCTGGTTTAGATCTGGTTTAGTCCTGGTTTAGACCTGGTTTAGTCCTGGTTTAGTCCTGGTTTGGTTTAGACCTGGTTTAGTCCTGGTTTAGTCCTGGTTTAGACCTGGTTTAGACCTGGTTTAGTCCTGGTTTAGATCTGGTTTAGTCCTGGTTTAGACCTGGTTTAGACCTGGTTTAGTCTTGGTTTAGTCCTGGTTTCTGCTCCTGTCTTCTCCAGATTCTCTTCGCTCATTCACGGCACATTTAATAATAATAAAAATTAAAATAATAATAATTCAAATCTGAAATAGAAAATCATTTTAATTTAAACGTCGTGTTTCTGAACAACACCACTTTTTTTCTCGTCTTGTTTGTTTTTGAAGCTGGTTTCTTCCTGTCGACACAAACGAACATTTACACGTCACTTTTTTAACGATAAAAAAGACGTAACACGGGACCTTTAAATCTCATCAATATTATTTAATTTATTGTTGATTTAATAATATTTAAAATTCAGTTTTCCAGGAGAAATCAGCTTCCAACACCAGATGCTGTTTGTTACTGTTTTCTATTTTTATTTAAGGTCTATAAAATAAATCTGGGGCTAGGATTGACAATTTTTGTTTATTTTCAAAATTTTTTGTAATTTTTTGGCATAAAATCAACTTCATATTTTGATCCAAATTAATTTTATAAATCAAAAATAAACGGTTTTGAAGTCCTGATCATATTCTGCATAAATTTCTTTCCAAAAAATGGTCAAATCAGCCCCAGATTTTCTCCCGTTGTCTCGTTATTTTCACTCATGTCGTTTTGTAATAATAATTTTGTGCATTTTTAAAACACTGGATGACGTCTTTGCAAAAAAAAAAAAGTTTATTGACGCTGAAAATACAAAAATTCACATCTGAAATCCTGTTTTTGTGAAGTTGGAACTGTTACACGATACCTCACTGTGGTTTTCAAACGCACGTCACAAATCCTGTACAGATCTGTGTTTTTGTCACTTTAAAATCACGATTTTTTACATTTTCAAAGCCATTTCCGGGTCCGGGGGCAGAACTTGTGATATTTGGGTTGGTTTTATGCAGCACATTGCAGCGAACACGTCTTATTTTCATATTTGTGATTAAAGAAGGATGTGTACATTTGTAAATATGTAATTCTAATGTTCAGAACGAGTCACAGCTTTAATAAAGTTGAAATGGTTTCCTTAAAAACGACTCGAGGCTCATCCTTTCAAAATAAGAGTCTCCACGAAGAAGAATGTTTCTCCTTTGTGGAGCTTGGTGATTCTGGTGTAAATAAAACAGAAAGGATCCTCAGCTCCTCCTCGGTCCTTCACACCAGAGTCCAGGTCCAGACCAGGTCCAGACGCTGGACTTGAACCCTCAGGTCAGTCTGGTTCTTCTCAACAGTCAGAGTCTTCACCTGTGGACCTCACAGACTCTCAGGGTCCAGGTCCGTCTGGTTCTTTTAGTCACATTGTTGGATTCTGGGACAGTTTGATGTTTTCTTCTCACATTTGGAGACTTGAGTCCAGATCCTTGTGGCTCAGGAGCTCGAGCCTCAGAAAGAAGCAACGATTCAAAGTTCAGAGGATCGAGTCCAACAGTCTGAACTGAACCAGAACTTACTCCAGGTTCTCCATAACTTTTGAAGTGTTTTTCTGAAGTTCATCTGCAGAGTTCAAGTTGAGTGTTGAACTGAGCCCCTGAGGAGAGTCTGGTCCTGGTGTTTGTGTTTAAACGTGAGCTGCACAGACTCTCACCTCACTCCACTTTCACACTTTAAACACTTTTTACTCTTGGATGTAAAGTGAAGTATTTCTGCTGCGTCTGAAGGTTCTTCTTCAGGTTCCTGTGGCTCAGGAGTCGAGCTCTCGGATCATCAAGTCTCAGCTCTGGTCCAGAGGTTCCAGGATCGATTCTTGCTCCAACCGACTCTGGAGGGACTAAACCAGGACTAAACCAGGACTAAACCAGGACTAAACCAGGACTGGGCCGAAGTCTTTAAGTGTAGAAGACCAGGTCCAGATGTGTGGAAGCTTCTGTCTGTTTTCTATAAATGAAGAAAAAAAGAAAAAACTAAAATAAAATGACTGAACTGTTTCTGAGCTGTAAGTCCAGTCAAGTAAAAAAACAAAAAAGAAGAATGACCTGAGTGACCTGCAGTGTGGCTCAGAGGCACAGCTCCAGACATTAGCACAGTCTGTCCTGAGGTTGTGGGTTCAAATCTCACTTTAAACACAATAGCTTCTCTTTATAAAACACTTTGTTCTGGTCCAGTTGAGCCGAACACAGAGGCTCAAACTCCCACAGGCGACACTTTTCAGGCTGTGTTGAGTTTAAATCTCATCTTCAACTTTACAGACTCTGACTCTGCAGTTGTTGGTTACACAGACTCGTGTTGGTCTGTGTCGAGTCTTGAACTGAACCTCTGAATAATTTAAAAGGTTTTTCTTTCGAGCTCTCGGCCTCCTGAGCCACAAAGAACTTAAAACGAGTCTTGAGATGTGAGAAGGAAACATCGAACTCTCATGATCCAATAATGTGATTCTAAAATAATGAGATCTCAAGTGAGGAGACGAGCAGCAGTTTGGCTCAGAGGTCGAGACCCAAACATGTGACATGTGACATGTGTCATGTGTCATGTGACATGTGTCATGTGTCATGTGACTCTCCTGTTTGTTCTGAGATTCTGAGTTCAAATCTCAACTTTAACTCTGGAGCTGAAGTTTAGAAAAACACTGTCAGAGTTACAGAGAGACTCGCTTTTGTTTGTGAGACTTGAACCAGAAACCTTTAAATAAGAGTTTAGTTTCTGAGGAGAGCAGGAATCAAACCTGCAACCTCTGAATAAGAGCAGGGTTTGTGTTCATACAAACAGAACTCGACCTGAACCACGAGGAACTGAACAACAAACTCCAAATGTGAAAGAAGAAGATGAGACGTAGAGTCTGTGAATCTAACTGTAAAACTCTGTAAATGTGAGTCAGGTCAGAGTGGAGCTGTGGACCAGAGGGAAGAACACTGTGACTGAAGATCACTGACGACCTGAGGTTCTGGGTTCAAATCCTGAACTGTACTTTGTTGTGAATTTAAACAATTTATGTGTAAATAAAGTTATAATGGCTTTTTAAGAAACTGTCACCGACCGAGAGCCGAACCTGCTGAGCCACAGAAACATGAAGAACAAACTTCAAACATGAATGTTTCCTCCAATAATCCAAATGTAAAATAATGAGAAGACAGAAGAACCTGGTGAGAGTGTGTGTGGTCCAGAGGAGAAGATCAGAGACTTTAAACACAGAGACGATGAGTTCAAATCTCCAACCACCTCAGATGTTTCCTCCACATGTTTCACTCAGACTCAAGACTCAAAACTCAGGTCATCAACAACTTTAGGAAAAACTTAGAAAAAAACAACACTTTTTCCTCTAAAATGTTCTGGTTTTGAGACAGTCTTGTGCTTCTCACAGTGAGTTGGCGCAAGCGCCAACTCACTGTGAGAAGCACTGCGACCAGGACCAGAGTCTGTGTGGAGACCTGGTCTGGATCCAGAGACCTCCAGGTCCCAGTGAGTCTCTGTTGTGGCAGATGCTCTCCCTGCTCCTCCACTGTCCCACCCCCCCTCCAGAGCTCCATCTGTGTCTTTATGTCAAACTTTACAACTTCTGCACTTAAAGACTTCAGACTGAACTCTGGCCCAGTCCTGGTTTAGTCCTGGTTTAGTCCTGGTTTAGTCCCTCCAGAGTCGGTTGGAGCAAGAATCGATCCTGGAACCTCTGGACCAGAGCTGAGACTTGATGATCCGAGAGCTCGACTCCTGAGCCACAGGAACCTGAAGAAGAACCTTCAGATGTGAAAATAAAACATGAATGTGACTCTTTCCTCCAATAATCCAAATGTAAAATAATGAGAAGACAGAAGAACCTGATGAGAGTGTGTGTGGTCCAGAGGAGAAGATCAGAGACTTTAAACACAGAGACGATGAGTTCAAATCTCCAACCACCTCAGATGTTTCCTCCACATGTTTCACTCAAAACTCAGGTCATCAACAACTAGAAAAAAACAACACTCTTTCCTCTAAAATGTTCTGGTTTTGAGACAGTCTTGTCGCTTCACCAGGACCAGGACCAGAGTCTGTGTGGAGACCTGGTCTGGATCCAGAGACCTCCAGGTCCCAGTGAGTCTCTGTTGTGGCAGATGCTCTCTTCAGTTCAGACTGTTGGACTCGATCCTCTGAACTTTGAATCGTTGCTTCTTTCTGAGGCTCGAGCTCCTGAGCCACAAGGATCTGGACTCAAGTCTCCAAATGTGAGAAGAAAACATCAAACTGTCCCAGAATCCAACAATGTGACTAAAAGAACCAGACGGACCTGGACCCTGAGAGTCTGTGAGGTCCACAGGTGAAGACTCTGACTGTTGAGAAGAACCAGACTGACCTGAGGTTCAAGTCCAGCGTCTGTCCTCATGTTCCTCTCACACTCACACCCAACTTTAGCAAAAAAACTTATTTTTACATTTGGTTGGTAAAATGAGTCGTTTTGAGACAGTCTGGGACCTGCTCTGGATCTTCGTGTCTGTGGGAGAGCGAGACTTGAGCTGGTGACCTCCTCACACCATCCAGACTCTGCCGTCCTGGTCTCGCTCCCTCCTCACCTCCACCTGAGTCTTTATCTCACACTTTAAACTCTGACTCACTTAAACACTCTGGTCTGGACCTGGTTTAGTTCCTCAGTGTGACCTGGAGCAAGATTTGAACCATGCACCTCTGGACCTGAGTCTGTTCCCTCTGAACCACAAGGACCTGAACTCGAGTCTCCAAACGTGAGAAGAAAACACGAGTCTGACAGTTTGAGTTTGTGTTTCAGGTTTGATCTCGGTGGTTCAGATAAAAAAGAAAAAAAACTCAGACTGAAGTTTAAACAAAAATAAAAACACAAAATGATCCACACGAGTCTGTTCACATTCAGTTATAATCAATCATTATTATTTTATTTTGTTTCTGCTTCAGACTTTTTAAAGTTTATACATTTAGGAAACACACGCTGAAAATACTGAAAAGTCCTGCTTTAGTCCCGGTTCAGTCCCGGTTTCAGTCCCGGTTCAGTCCCGGTTCAGTTCCTGTTCAGTCCCGGTTCAGTCCCGGTTCAGTCCCGGTTTAGTCCCGGTTCAGTCCCGGTTCGGTCCCGGTTTGGTCCCGGTTCAGTCCTGGAGTTGCTGATCTCTTCTGGACTCAAGAGAAAAGTTGTTCAGTTGAAAATGACAATGACATCACGAGGTGGAACAGAGCGTTGGTAGTTTTATAATAATACAGATTTACTCAAACACGTGAATGAAACAAACACGACTGAAGAGACCAGGAAACATCACAACATCACAACATGTTTAAAGCTCAGAGTCACTTTTATTTAATTAGGAGTTTTATTTGAACCTAAACACTAAATAAAGTCAAATAAATACATAAAATAAATCAATACAAATTTATAAATAATAATAAATAAATACATAAACACTAAATAAAGTAAAATAAACAAATAAAATACATAAATAATAAAAAAAAAACAAATAAATTAATAATACTAATTAAATTAATAAACAATAAAGTAAAATGAATAAATAAAATAAATAATACTAAATAAATAAGTAGTAAATAAAGTAAAAATAAACAAATAAAATAAATACATAATAATAATAATAATAAATAAATAAACACTAAACAAAGTAAAACAAATAAATAAAATAAATAAATAATAACTGAACAATAAATAAACACTAAATAAAGTAAAATAAATAAATAAAATTAATTAATAATAAATAAATAAACAAACAAATAAACACTAAATAAAGTAAAATAAGCACTAAAACCTCAAACTAAATGTCAGTTTGTAAAGTTATTTAGTCAGAATAATTCATGTTTATCTTATTCTAAATATATTGCGTCAATATTCGGGGAAAGTTCCGTATTTTTGATAAATTTCTCTTCTGACCGTCCAGAGCTGTTGTTCCCACGTGACCCGCATCCTCCAATCAGCGCGCTCCTTTTACCTTCTCTTTAACTTCAGTTTTTCGGGGAATATTTGCGTTTTTCTTCGGTGTTTTTTGCGTGAAACTCGCCCCGGGGCCGCGCGCGCACGTGACGCTGCGTGACCGTGGGGACGTGCGCGTGAAAAGCGCGTGAAAAGTGCGACAAAAGCGGCGTCAGAGCGCGTGAGTGGAAAGATACTGGCGTCAAGAGCGCGACGTCACCACGCACACGCCGGAAACGAGCGGCACATACACAGTAAAACAGGAAACAGAAAGATTAGCGCTTTCACAATAAAACCACAGCGTCAATAAACATAAAAATAAAGTTATAGAATTAAATTTGTGGATATTTTATAAGAAATAGAAGAGGAGATATTGCAAAAATTAATAATCTTATGTTTTAAAATATTTATCATAATATTTATATTTTGTATAAATAATATCGTATTATTTGAACAGCTTTTAGAAATATTTTGGATATTTTTACATTTTATCTGCTTTTATTTGAGTACTTTAGTAGTTTAAATTAAATCATAATGTTTGAATCCATAAGGAGAAAGTTAAATCCCTGTATTTGTCTGATTTCGTTTTTTATTATTTTTGCAGTGAATTTGTGTTTTGTTTTGATGATATTTTTCAATCATTTGCACAGAGAGAAAAGTGGATTTTTGGTTTGTCTTTATTAAACCTCCACAGAGCCACAGCTGCCCTGGGTCAGACTGAGGAAAACACGACTGTCGATCTGCGCCTCTCGGACCAAAACGTTCACACTTACGCAGCGAGTGAAGTGTCTTGCTGAAGGACACAAAAGTATGAAGCCTTAAACTGGTTGAAACTGGAATTGAACTGTAAACTTTTGTGTTATAAGGCAATAACAACTCAACCAGGTGAGCCACAAGTCCAGGTTTAGTCCAGGTTTAGTCCAGGTTTAGTCCAGGTTTAGTCCAGGTTTAGTCCAGGTTTAGTCCAGGTTCAACTAGGCCTGATTGAGACCTGGTTTAGTCCTTATTTAGTCCTGGTTTAGACACTGTTTTAGACCCTGTCCTAGTCCTGACTTAGGGTCTAAAACCAAGTCTAAACCAGGGACTTAACCAGTACTGTTTTAGCCCAAACTTAGTACTGGTTTAATCCTTGTTGTTGTCCTGTTTTACTCCTGGTTTGGTCCCGGTTTAGTCCTTGTTTAGACCCTGTTTTAGCCCAAACTTAGTCCTGGTTTAGTCCTGGTTTGGACCCTAATTCAGTCCCCGTTTTAGTCCTGTTTTATTCTTGGTTTAGATCTGGTTTAGTCCCTGATTCTGTCCCTTGTTTAGTCCTGTTTTAGTCCTGTTTTAGTCTTGTTTTAGTCCTGTTTTAGACCCGATTTAGTCCTGGTTTAGTCCCTGTCACAAAAGTAAAAATCCTTAATCGTTGAATCTTGGATTGAACTGTAAACCTTCGCGTTATGAGGCAGTAACTTCACCCGCTGCTGCTTCACTCTCAGCCTCAGTTTTGTCTTTTGAGTTTTAGTTTGTCATTTTATTTCAGTTTTTTCTGCTTTTGTATTTTTACATTTTTCTTGCGCTTTTATTTTCCAAGTCTGTGCCGGATGCGCCGCGCCTCGTCGCTTCCGCCTTGACGCACACGGCAGGAGCGATACCCGATGGACACAAGCGGCCGTTCCCTGCGCTCTCTCGTGTCGGTTTTTCACCCGAATCCGCCGCTGCGCTCCGACCCACTGACCCCGGACCCCCCCCCCCCGACGCCGAGCGGAGTGTGAAGTCCTCCCCGCTGTGAGTACCGTCTCCCCCCGGGGCCGAGCCGCTCCAGCCCCGCGCGGAACTGTGCCCTTGACAACTCCGACGCGAACTGACAGCGCCGAAAAACAAACAAAACACCAAACTTTACTCGTGTTCGGAGCGATTAAACCGTGTGAAAGCGCGGCGTACGTGCGGGTTCGGCGTGCGGGTTTGTGCGTAATGCGCTGGAGCCGTGCGCATTGCTCGAGGACAGGGGTGTAGCCGCGGATCCACATTGTCTGCCTCTGTTTACTCGGTCCAGCCCCGCGGACTTTTTACGCACGGGCCCGGGCCAGGTTCACCCGGGCGCAAAGGGCGAACCGAGGAGGCGTCCGCGCGCACAAACCCGCGTCCGGAACTCGCGTGAAATGTTGCTTTTTGTGCCATTGCTGCGTTACTTTACACGACCAGCGTAACGAGCGCGAGGCGACGCACGGCGAAAACAAAACGCGCGTCCGGTCACGTCCTTCACAATAAAACAATAAAGAGGACTGCGGTAAGACACGAGAGGATTTAAAGATGTACAAAATAAAACGATTCAAACGATTTAAAATGTTGAAATGTGAAATTAAATGTGAAACTAAATGTGAAATGATTCTCTGATGTGTGTTTTCTGATGTGGTTTCGTCGTCTCGCTCGGATCTGGACTTGTGTTTTGTTTTGTTTCGTTCACAAACGTTTAACTCACAAACCAAACTGCAGATTTAGGCCGATCTCCAACTGAAAACTATTCCTCTCTTCCACCTTGTGATGTCATCGTGTGGTGATACAGGGAGAAGTGCTCCACCGTGTTTTTAAACCCCCACACGCCTTCACGACAATCATCTGTTTGATTTCAGACGTGGAGACGCAAATCTGGACTCAACTAAAGAGAAACGGAGCTGAGAAGGTCAAACCAGGACTAAACCAGGACTAAACCAGGTCTAAACCAGGTCTAAACCAGGACTAAACCAGGACTAAACCAGAAGTAAACCAGGACTAAAACAGGTCTAAAACAAGTCTAAACCAGGACTAAACCAGGACTAAACCAGGTCTAAAACAGAACTAAACCAGAAGTAAACCAGGACTGAACCAGGACTAAACCAGGACTAAACCAGGTCTAAAACAGGACTAAACCAGAACTAAACCAGAACTAAACCAGGACTGAACCAGGACTAAACCAGGGACTAAACCAGGACTAAACCAGGTCTAAACCAGGGACTAAACCAGGACTAAACCAGGACTAAACCAGATCTGATCTAAACCAAGTCTAAACCAGATCTAAACCAGGACTAAACCAGGACTAGACCAGTGTTTTTAAACTCCACACTCCTTCACCAGAATCATTTGGATCATTTCAGTTCTGGAGTCGTTGATCTCGACTGAACTAAAGGTTGATGACATCACGAGGTGGAGCAGAGCGTTTGGAGGTTTGCAGATGTTAAACAGACTCAGAATAAAGAGTCACTCAAACAAATGAACGAAACAAACACGACTGCAGCTCCGTGTGTCGAGGAAACATGAAGATCACCACTTAAATCTCAGAGTCCGTTTAGTTTCACGTCGGAGTTTTAAACTGAAATTCTTCTCGTCGCGTCGCGTCTCCAGGACGAAGTCGACTCAGAGAAATATTTACAGTTTTTTGAGTTTAAATGTGACGGCAGATTTGTGAAACTAAACACAAGGAAGAAAAGCAGAGCCTCGTTTTCCTCTGAATCCTGAACAACAACAGAACAGAACCTGTAGAACATCTGGATCTGGATCAGAACAAGTCCAAGACACAGAGACCAGTTCTCAGTGATCAGCCTCAAATTAAAGCTGCACTGTGTCACTTTTCCACTAAACCAGGACAAGAACAGGACTAAACCAGGACTAGACCAGGACTAGACCAGGACTAGGACTGGAACTGAGCCCGGGACCGAGACCGGAATCAGACCAGGACCAGACCAGGGCTGAGACCGGGACCTGGTTTAGTCCTGGTTCAGTCCTGGTTCAGTCCTGGTTTAGTCCAGTTTTAGTCCAGTTTTAGTCCAGGTCAGGTCCAGGTCGGGTCCAGTTTTAGTCCTGGTTCAGGCCTGGTTGGGTCCTGGTCAAGTCCAGGTCGAGTCCAGTTTTAGTCCTTGTTTGGTCCTGGTTTAGTCCTTGTTTGTCCTGGTTTAGGTCCTTGTTTGGTCCTGGTTTAGTCCTGGTTCAGTCCTGGTTTAGTCCAGTTTTAGTCCAGTTTTAGTCCAGTCTGGTCCAGGTCGGGTCCAGTTTTAGTCCTGGTTCAGGCCTGGTTGGGTCCTGGTCAAGTCCTGGTTCAAGTCCAGGTCGAGTCCAGTTTTAGTCCTTGTTTGGTCCTGGTTTAGTCCTGGTTTAGTCCTGGTTTAGTCCTGGTTTAGTCCTGGTTTAGTCCTGGTTTAGTCCTGGTTAGTCCTGGTTTAGTCCAGTTTTAGTCCTGGTTCAGTTCATTATCTGTTTTTTCTATTTTTCATTTAAACACAAAATCAAAAACTGAAAAAATCGAATCTTTATCTGTTTTTTTCATTTTGGTTTTGGAGCCAAATAACCGTTTTCTTAGTTGTTTTTTCCGTCTGTGTTTCTGTTTCTGTTTCTGTTTCTGGTGTTGTTCTCGTTTGCCGTTGTGTCGTTGGGCAGGACACTCTCCCCTCTGTCTGTTTTACATGAGTTTGGGTTTGTGGTTGTGGAGGCGTCGGGCAGAGGAGCAGCCAGGTCTGTGCCGCTCTGCCCCGGGGCGAGCGGAGACGTGGTATTTCAGGTTTGTGTACTGTACTGCAGTACTCGGCCTGCAGTACTCGGCCTGTACTCCCAGGAGATTATCTTGAGTACTTCTTGGATATTTGAAGTATGTGAGAGTCGAGTGAGTCACAGATCAGAGCGTCACACCCACATGTCACTGCGGCTCCTCTGCGGCTCCTCTGCGGCTCCTCTGCGGCTCCTCTGCTGGACCAGACCGGGTTCAGACCGGGACCAGACCGGGTTAGGCCGGGTTCAGACCGGGTTCAGACCGGGACCAGACCGGGTTCAGACCGGGTTCAGACCCACTCAGGTCCTGCTCCAGTCCTGTTTTAGAACTATTCTTTCCTGGTTTAGTCCTTGGATTAGTTCTTGGTTTAGACCCTGGTTCAGTCCTGTTATAGTCCTGGTTTAGACCTGGTTTAGTCCTGGTTTAGTCCTGGTTTAGACCTGGTTTAGACCTGGTTTAGACCCTGTTCTTTCCTGGTTTAGACTTGACGTAGTCCTGGTTTAGTTCTTGATCTACGCCCTGGGTTAGTCCTGGTTCAGTTCTGCTTTAGTCCTGCTCTAATCCTGGTTTAATCCTGGTTTAGTCCCGTCTTTAGTCCTGCCTAAATCTTGCTATAGTTTTGGTTCAATCCCGGTTTAATCCCTGGTTCAGCCCAGGTTTAGTCCCTGATTTAGTCTTTAGTTCAGTTCTGTTTTAGTCCTGTTTTAGTCCTGGTTTAGTCCTGGTTTAGGCCCACTGGGTCCCTATTCTTTCCTGGTTTAGTCCCTGGCTTAGTCTTTGGTTTAGTTTAGTCCTGGTTTAGTCCCACTCAGGTCCTGCTTTAGTCCTGGTTTAGTCCTGGTTCAGTCCTGTTAGTCCTGTTAGTCCTTTGTCCTTTAAGACCTGGTTAGACCTTTTCTGGTTTAGACCTGGTTTTCCTGGTTTAGACCTGGTTTAGTCCTGGTTTAGGTTTAGACCTGGTTTAGTCCTGGTTTAGTCTGGTTTCCAGTCCTGGTTTAGTCCTGGTTTGTCCTGGTTTAGTTTAGTCCTGGTTTAGTCCTGGTTTAGTCCTGGTTCAGTCCTGGTTTAGTCCTGGTTTAGAGTCCTGGTTTAGTCCTGGTTAGTCCTGGTTTAGACCTGGTTTAGTCCTGGTTTAGACCTGGTTTAGACCTGGTTTCAGTCCTGGTTTAGACCTGGTTTAGAGTCCTGGTTTAGTCCTGGTTTAGTTTAGTCCTGGTTTACCTGGTTTAGTCCTGGTTTAGTCCTGGTTTAGTCCTGGTTTCCTGGTTTAGTCCTGGTTTAGACCTGGTTTAGTCCTGGTTTAGTCCTGGTTTAGACCTGGTTTAGTCCTGGTTTAGTCCTGGTTTAGTCCTGGTTTTAGTTTAGTCCTGGTTTAGTTTAGTCCTGGTTTAGTCCTGGTTTAGTCCTGGTTTAGTTTACCTGGTTTAGTCCTGGTTTAGAGTCCTGGTTTAGAGTCCTGGAGTTTAAAGTCCTGGTTTAGTCCTGGTTTAGTAGTCCTGGTTTAGTCCTGGTTTAGACCTGGTTTAGTCCTGGTTTAGTCCTGGTTTAGACCTGGTTTAGTCCTGGTTTAGTCCTGGTTTAGTCCTGTTTAGTCCTGGTTTAGTCCTGGTTTCTGGCTTTTTAGTCCTGCTTTAGTCCCCTGGTTTAGTCCTGCTTTAGTCCTGGTTTAGTTTAGTCCTGGTTTAGTCCCTGGTTTAGACCTGGTTTAGTCCTGGTTTAGTTTAGTCCTGGTTTTAGACCTGGTTTAGTCCTGGTTTAGTCCTGGTTTTTAGTCCTGGTTAGTCCTGCTTTAGACCTGGTTTAGTCCTGGTTTAGTCCTGGTTTAGACCTGGTTCAGTCCTGTCCGTCAGTCTTGTACGAGGCCTCGAGCTGCAGAGTAATCAGCAGAGTAATCAGATTACATAAGAGTTTCTTGAGGATTAGTCGGTTCATTTAAACAGAAAATCCAGTTGAATAAAAATCACAAAAATCTCACAGAAAAACCTCTTAATCACATCATCACGGTCTGGGCCGAGTCCTGGTTCAGTCCTGGTTTAGTCCTGGTTTAGTCCTGGTTTAGACCTGGTTTAGTCCTGGTTTAGTCCTGGTTTAGTCCTGGTTTAGTCCTGGTTTAGTCCTGGTTTAGTCCTGGTTTAGTCCTGGTTTAGTCCTGGTTTAGTCCTGGTTTACAGGAGCCGTTTATTTGTCCTGCAGTGATTTTTCTTTTGTTCCAGATCAGGAGCGAGTCTCATGATCCAAATAAAACTCGAGTCTGTGCCAAAAATACTCAGAAATACTCAAAAATACTCAAACTTTACACAAAAAAAACTTCAAAACTCGACAAATAAACGTGTGAAGTTGTTTAACGTCCGTCTGCTCTCGTTCTTTGTCAGAAATTAGACCCTGACTGAAGTTAAATCGATTTTTCTGTGTCTCTTTTCTTCAGACGAGTGCAGGATTTCAGAATAAGAGCGTGTGTTTGTGTTCCAGGTCCAGTGCTTTTATTGTGAAGGTCCAACATGCCGCTGTTCGGAAAATCCCACAAAAGTCCGAGCGAGATCGTCAAGATCCTGAAGGAAAACCTCAACATCCTGGTCAAGCAGGAGAAGAAGGCCGACAAGGTGAGTCCAGACCGGGTTTAGACCGGGTTTAGACCGGGTTTAGACCGGGTTTAGACCGGGTTTAGACCGGGTTTAGACGAGGTTTAGATGGGGGTATAGACGGGTTTAGACCGGGTTTAGACCGGGTTTAGACCGGGTTTAGACCGGGTTTAGACCGGGGTTTTAGACCGGATTTAGACGAGGTTTAGTCCTGGTTTAGACTCACTCAGGTCCTGCTTTCGTACCGATTTAGACCTATTCTTTCCTGGTTTAGTTCCTGTCTTAGTCCTTGGTTTTAGACCCTGGTTTAGTCCTGGTTCAGTTCTGCTTTTGTGTTATTTAGACTTGTGGTAGTCCTGGTTTAGTCCTGGTTTAGTCCTAGTTTAGTCTCCGCTTTAGTCCTGCTTAAAGATTGTGATAGTTTTGGTTCAGTCCTGGTTCAGTCCCTGGTTTAGTCCTTAGTTCAGTTTAGACCGGGTTTAGACCGGGTTTAGACCGGGTTCAGTCCTGGTTCAGACTTGGCTCAGTCCTGGTTCAGTTCTACAGATTATTTTGAGTGAATGTGAGACTTGACTGGAGTTTGTGATGTTCTCACACGACTTTGTTAAAGTTATCAGCCTCATGAAAGAACAGGACTGGACCAGGTCTGGACCAGGTCTGGACCAGGTCTGGACCAGGTCTGGACCAGGTCTGGACCAGGTCTGGACCAGGTCTGGACCAGGTCTGGACCAGGTCTGGACCAGGTCTGGACCAGCTCTGAACTAGGACTAAACCAGATCTAAACGAGGGACTTGACAAAGACCAAACCAGGAGCAGGACTGTCGTGTGTTGAAATGCCTGGACTTGAACCTCCCCCCCGTCTTTCCCTTGTGTTTCCCATAGGCGTCGGAGGAGGTGTCCAAATGCCTGGTGTCTATGAAGGAGATCTTGTACGGGAGCAACGACAAAGAGCCTCACACTGAGACTGTGGCTCAACTGGCCCAGGAGCTGTACACCAGCGGCCTCCTGCTGAGCCTCGTCGAGCACCTGCAGCTCATCGACTTCGAGGTACAGCAACCAGTACTACCAAAAATACTACTAATACTACTCCTGATACTACAAATACTACAAATACTACAAATACTGCTGTTACTGTGGCAACTGCTACAACAAAACCTCAGCCAGGTCTGGACCAGGATCCAGGTCTGGACCAGGATCCAGGTCTGGACCAGGATCCAGGTCTGGACCAGGATCCAGGTCTGGACCAGGATCCAGGTCAGGACCAGGATCCAGGTCAGGTCTGGTCCTCTGAGCCTCACAGGTTTAACCCCGGGCGATAGTTTGATTATTTGGAGACTCGTTTGGTCTTTTCACACCAAACCTGGTCCCACCGACGTTTATCAAAGTCCAACAATGAAATAATAAAAGTTCCGTCCCGTGAAGCGTTTGGAAGCGTTGGTCTGGAGCTTCTGTCTCATGTGGACGATGGACCTGAGGTTTGGCTTCTGGTGCAGAGTCCAGCAGAACGACACCAGGTCTTTTATGAGCTTCTGGTCTGTTTGATTTAGTGCAGATCTGAGTGAGACTGAAACTTTCACACCAACTAAACTAAAACTAAACTAAAACTAAACTAAACTAAACTAAAAAAACTAAACTAAAAACTAAACTAAAACTAAACTAAAACTAAACTAAAACTAAAACTAAACTAAAACTAAACTAAAACTAAACTAAACTAAAAAAACTAAAAAAAACTAAAACTAAAACTAAAACTAAACTAAACTAAACTAAAACTAAAACTAAGAGCTTCTGGATCCAATAAAACAATTGGGCAACAACTGCTGAACCCAGAGAGGTCTACTGGAGTCCCGGTCTAGGTCTAGTCCCGGTCTAGTCCCTCCCGGTCTAGTCCGGGTTTAGTCTAGTCCGGGTCTAGTCCTGGTTTAGTCCCGGTTAGTCCCGGTCTAGTCCCGGTTCTAGTCCCGGTCTAGTCCTGGTTCTAGTCCCGGTCTAGTCCCGTCTAGTCCCTGGGTCTAGTCCCGGTCTAGTCCCGTTAGTCCCGGTCTAGTCCCGTCTAGTCCCGGTTTAGTAGTCCGTCTAGGTCCCGGTTTAGTCCGGTCTAGTCCCGGTCTAGTCCTGGTTCTAGTCCCGGTCTAGTCCCTAGTGGTCTAGTCCCGTCTAGTCCTGGTCTAGTCCTGGTTTAGTCCCGGTCTAGTCCTGGTCTAGTCCTGGTCTAGTCTAGTCCCTGGTCTAGTCCCTAGTGTCTAGTCCCGGTCTAGTCCTAGTCTTAGTCCTAGTCCTAGTCCTGGTCTAGTCCCGGTCTAGTCCCGTAGTCTAGTCCTTAGTCCCGGTCTTAGTCTGTCTAGTCCTGGTCTAGTCCGGTTTAGTCCTAGTCCCGGTCTAGTCCGGTCTAGTCTGTTTAGTCCGGTCTAGTCCTGGTCTAGTCCTGGTTTAGTCCCGTCTAGTCCCCGTCTAGTCCGTCTAGTCCCGGTCTAGTCCTGGTCTAGCCCGGGTCTAGTCCCTGGTCTAGTCTGGTTTAGTCCTGGTCTAGTCCCGGTCTAGTCCGGTCTAGTCTAGTCCGGTCTAGCCTGGTTAGTCCTGGTCTAGTCCCGGTCTAGTCCGGTCTAGTCCCGGTCTAGTCCGGTCTAGTCCCTGGTCTAGTCCCGGTTTAGTCCTGTTTAGTCCTGGTCTTAGTCCCGGTCTAGTCGGGTCCGGTCTAGTCCTGGTCTAGGGTCTAGTCCTGGTCTAGTCCTGGTGTCTAGTCCGGTCTAGTCCCGGTCTAGTCCCGGTCGGTCTAGTCCGGTCTAGTCCTGGTCCTGGTCTAGTCCTGGTCTAGTCCCGGTCTAGTCCCGGTCTAGTCCTGGTAGTCCCGGTCCTGGTCTAGTCCCGTGTCTGTGTCCAGGGGAAGAAGGACGTGTGTCAGATCTTTAACAACATCCTGAGGCGACAGATCGGAACCCGGAGCCCGACAGTCGAGTACTTCTGCTCCCACAGCCAAGTCCTGTTCATCCTCCTGAGAGGGTAAGAACTCAACCAGGACTCAAACTGGACTCAACCAGGACTCAAACAGGACTCAAACTGGACTGGACCAGGACTCAAACAGGACTCAAACTGGACTCAACCAGGACTCAAACTGGACTCAACCAGGACTCAAACTGGACTCAAACTGGACTCAACCAGGACTCAAACTGGACTCAAACAGGACTCAAACTGGACTCAACCAGGACTCAACCAGGACTCAGGACTCAACTGGACTGGACTCAACTCACTGGACTCAAACTGGACTCAAACCAGGACTCAAAACTGGACTGGACCAGGACTCAAACTGGACTCAAACAGGACTACACCAGGACTCAACAACAGGACTCAACCAGGACTCAAACTGACTGGACTCAACTGGACTCAGGACTCAAACTGGAAGGACTCACTGGACTCAACTCAGGACTACACCAGGACTCAAACTGGACTCAAACTGGACTCAAACTGGACTCAAACTGGACTCAACCAGGACTCAAACTGGACTCAAACTGGACTCAAACTGGACTCAAACTGGACTCAAACTGGACTCAAACTGGACTACACCAGGACTCAACCAGGACTCAACACTGGACTCAAACTGGACTCAAACTGGACTCAAACTGGACTCAAACTGGACTCAACCAGGACTCAACCAGGACTCAAACTGGACTCAACCAGGACTCAACCAGGACTCAAACTGGACTCAAACTGGACTCAAACTGGACTCAAACTGGACTCAACAGGACTCAACTGGACTCAAACTGGACTCAAACTGGACTCAACCAGGACTCAACCAGGACTCAAACAAGACTGGACCAGGACTCAACCAGGACTACACCAGGACTACACCAGGACTCAAACTGGACTCAACCAGGACTCAAACTGGACTCAAACTGGACTCAACCAGGACTCAACCAGGACTCAAACTGGACTCAACCAGGACTCAAACTGGACTCAACCAGGACTCAAACTGGACTCAAACTGGACTCAACCAGGACTCAAACTGGACTCAACCAGGACTACACCAGGACTCAAACTGGACTCAAACAGGACTACACCAGGACTCAACCAGGACTCAACCAGGACTAAACCAGGACTAAACCAGGACTCAAACAGGACTACACCAGGACTCAACAAGAACTCAACCAGGACTCAACCAGGACTCAACCAGGACTCAACCAGGACTCAAACTGGACTCAAACTGGACTCAAACTGGACTCAAACTGGACTCAACCAGGACTCAACCAGGACTCAACAGGACTCAAACTGGACTCAACCACGACTCAACCACGACTCAACCACGACTCAACCACGACTCAACCACGACTCAACCAGGACTCAACCAGGACTACACCAGGACTCAAACCAGGACTCAACAGGACTCAAACAGGACTACACCAGGACTCAAACAGGACTCAACAAACAGGACTCAACCAGGACTCAACCAGGACTCCAACCAGGACTCAGGACTCCAGGACTCAACCAGGACTCAAACAGGACTCAGGACTCAAACAGGACTCAACCAGGACTCAAACAGGACTACACCAGGACTCAAACAGGACTACACCAGGACTCAAACAGGACTACACCAGGACTCAAACAGGACTCAACTAAGACTCAAACAGGACTACACCAGGACTCAACCAGGACTCAACAAGAACTCAACAAGAACTCAACCAGGACTCAACCTGATCTTTCCCTGGTCTCTGTCTGGTCTAAAATCTCTCCTCGGTCTAACTCCGGTCTCTCTTCGGTCTCTCCCCGGTCTTACTCCGGTCTGACCTGGGTTTCTGGTCTTCCTCTGGTCTTCCTCTGGTCTTCCTCTGGTCTTCCTCTGGTCCTCTGGTCTCTGGTCTGGTCTCTGGTCTGGTCTGGTCTTTGGTCTCTGGTCTCTGGTCTCTGGTCTTTGGTCTTTGGTCTTTGGTCTCTGGTCTCTGGTCTCTGGTCTCTGGTCTTGGATCTGGTCTCTGGTCTCTGGTCTCTGGTCTCTGGTCTCTGGTCTGATCTGGTCTCTGGTCTCTGGTCTGTCTGGTCTCTCTGGTCTCTGGTCTCTGGTCTCTGGTCTCTGTCTGATCTGGTCTCTGGTCTCTGGTCTCTGGTCTCTGGTCTCTGGTCTCTGGTCTGGTCTGGTCTCTGGTCTCTGGTCTCTGGTCTGGTCTGGTCTCTGGTCTGGTCTCTGGTCTCTGGTCTCTGGTCTCTGGTCTCTGGTCTTTGGTCTTCTGGTCTGGTCTTTGGTCTCTGGTCTCTGGTCTCTCTTGGTCTCTGGTCTGGTCTTCTGGTCTCTCTGGTCTCTGGTCTCTCTGGTCTCTGGTCTGGTCTCTGGTCTCTGGTCTGGTCTCTGGTCTCTGGTCTCTGGTCTCTGGTCTCTGGTCTCTGGTCTCTGGTCTCTGGTCTGGTCTTTGGTCTCTGGTCTGATCTGGTCTCTGGTCTCTGGTCTCTGGTCTGGTCTCTGGTCTGGTCTCTGGTCTCTGGTCTCTGGTCTCTGGTCTCTGGTCTGGTCTCTGGTCTCTGGTCTGGTCTGGTCTCTGGTCTCTCTGGTCTCTGGTCTCTGGTCTCTGGTCTCTGGTCTCTGGTCTCTGTCTGGTCTGGTCTCTGGTCTGATCTGGTCTCTGGTCTCTGGTCTCTGGTCTCTGGTCTCTGGTCTCTGGTCTCTGGTCTCTGGTCTGGTCTCTGGTCTGGTCTGGTCTCTGGTCTCTGGTCTCTGGTCTCTGGTCTCTGGTCTCTGGGTCTGGTCTGGTCTTTGGTCTCTGGTCTGGTCTCTGGTCTCTGGTCTCTGGTCTTCTGGTCTCTGGTCTCTGGTCTCTGGTCTCTGGTCTCTGGTCTCTGGTCTCTGGTCTCTGGTCTGAGGTCTGGTCTGGTCTTGGTCTCTGGTCTCTGGTCTGTCTGGTCTCTGGTCTCTGGTCTCTGGTCTGTCTGGTCTGGTCTTTGGTCTCTGGTCTGATCTGGTCTCTGGTCTCTGGTCTCTGGGTCTCTGGTCTGGTCTCTGGTCTCTCTCTGGTCTCTGGTCTCTCTGGTCTCTGGTCTGGTCTCTGGTCTCTGGTCTCTGGTCTCTGGTCTGGTCTGGTCTCTGGTCTCTGGTCTCTGGTCTCTGGTCTCTGGTCTCTGGTCTGATCTGGTCTCTGGTCTCTGGTCTGGTCTCTGGTCTCTGGTCTGGTCTGGTCTCTGGTCTCTGGTCTCTGGTCTGGTCTGGTCTCTGGTCTCTGGTCTCTGGTCTCTGGTCTGGTCTCTGGTCTCTGGTCTCTGGTCTGGTCTCTGGTCTCTGGTCTCTCTGGTCTCTGGTCTGATCTGGTCTCTGGTCTCTGTCTCTGGTCTGGTCTCTGGTCTTTCTGGTCTCTGGTCTCTGGTCTGATCTGGTCTCTGGTCTCTGGTCTGGATCTGGTCTCTGGTCTCTGGACTCTGGTCTCCTGCAGGTACGAGACTCCTCAAGTGGCTCTGAACTGTGGGATCATGTTGAGGGAGTGCATCCGTCACGAGGCGTTGGCTAAAATCGTGCTCCACTCGGACGAGTTCCACCGATTCTTCCACTACGTGGAAATGTCCACGTTCGACATCGCCTCAGACGCCTTCGCCACCTTCAAGGTACCGACCCGAAAACCGACTTCAGAACATCTCGCTCCAAACTGTTCCCTCACAAACTCTGCGTGTTCTTTCTGGTTCTTTTAGGATCTACTGACGAGACATAAAGTTCTGGTCTAAACTCAACCAAGGCTAAACCGTGAGTTTTTAAACCAAACAAAACTAAACCAGGACTAAACCAGGTCTAACCAGGACTAAACCAGGTCTTTTCTAAACCAGGACTAAAACTAAACCAGGATCAACTAAACCAGGACTAAACCAGGACTAAACCAGGACTAAACCAGGACTAAACCAGGACTAGGTCTAAACCAGGACTAAACCAGGACTAAACCAGGACTAAACCAGGACTAAACCAGGACTAAACCAGGACTCCACCTCTAAACCAGGACTAAACCAGGACTAAACTAACCAGGTCTAAACCAGGACTAAACCAGGAACAGGACTAAAAAGACTAAACCAGGACTAAACCAGGACTAAACCAGGACTAAACCACTAAACCAGGACTAAACCAGGACTAAACCAGGACTAAACCAGGACTAAACCAGGACTAAACCAGGACTAAACCAGGTAACCAGGACTAAACCAGGACTAACCAGGACTAAACCAGGACTAAACCAGGACTAAACCAGGACTCTAAACCAGGACTAAACCAGGACTAAACCAGGACTGGACTAAACCAGGACTAAACCAGGACTAAACCAGGACTAAACCAGGACTAAAACCAGGACTAAACCAGGACTGAACCAGGACTAAACCAGGACTAAACCAGGACTAAACCAGGACTAAACCAGGACTAAAACCAGGACTAAACCAGGGACTAAACCAGACTAAACCAGGACTAAACCAGGACTAAACTAAACCAGGACTAAACCAGGACTAAACCAGGACTAAACCAGGACTAAACCAGGACTAAACCAGGACTAAACCAGGACTAAACCAGGACTAAACCAGGACTAAACCAGGACTAAACCAGGACTAAACCAGGTCTAAACCAGGACTAAACCAGGACTAAACCAGGGACTAAACCAGGACTAAACCAGGGACTAAACCAGGACTAAACCAGGACTAAACCAGGTCTAAACCAGGACTAAACCAGGACTAAACCAGGTCTAAACCAGGTCTAAACCAGGTCTAAACTCGGGTGTTTCGTTGCAGCTTCTGGGGGAGCTTCTGTTGGACCGACATAACTTCACGGTCATGACTCGTTACATCAGCAAAACAGAAAACCTCAAACTCATGATGAACCTCCTGAGGGACAAAAGCGCCAACATCCAGTTCGAGGCTTTCCACGTCTTCAAGGTCTCTGCTCCACCTCAGCTCCTCCGACCTTCTCCTCTAACCTTTTCATCTCAACTTTTCCTCTGAACTTCTCGTCTGACCTTCTCCTCCAACTTAACCTTCTCCTCAAACCTTCACCTCCAACTTTCTCTTCTAACCTTCTCCTAACTTTCTCCTTGAAACCTTCTCCTCCAACCTTATCAAACTTTCTACTCTAACCTTCACTTCCAACTTTCTCCTCTGACCTTCTCCTCTAACCTTCTACTCTAAACCTTCTCCTCTAATTTTGTCCGTCTTACCTTCTCCTCTGACGTTCTCCTCTAACTTTTTCTTCTAACCTTCTCCTCCAGCCTTCTCCTCTAAACTTCTTCCCAAACGTTCTCCTCTAATGTTCTCCACCAACTTTAACGTTCTCCTCTGACCTTCTCCTCCAACATTCTTATCAAACTTTCTACTGTAACCTTCAGGTGCAACTTTCTCCTCTGACCTTCTCCTCTAATGTTTTCGTCTAACCTTCTTCTCTACTTTTCTCCATTAACTTTCTCGTCTAAACTTTCTCCTCTGATCTTCTCTAACCTTCTCCTCTAAACTTCTCCTCTAAACTTCTTCCAAAACTTTCTCCTCTAAAGTTCTCCTCTGACCTTCTCCTCTCTTCTATTTTTCTAACATCTCTCCGTGTTTTTCCTCCAGGTTTTCGTAGCGAACCCGAACAAGACCCAGCCCATCGTGGACATCCTCCTGAAGAACCAAACCAAACTCATCGACTTCCTGTCCAACTTCCAGAAGGACCGGACGGACGACGAACAGTTCAACGACGAGAAGACCTATTTAATCAAACAGATCCGCGACCTGAAGAAGCCCGCCTCCTAAAGCCGTCGCCGTAGAAACGCGCACACAAACTAAATCAGTCTATTTAAATAAGCAACTTCGGAGACTCTTATTGTGAAGGTTCTCAATCACTGATCACTTCCTGTATTTTATTTTTTCTTCATCCGTCGCATGTTTTTGATTTGCTCAGCTTCAGAGGGCCGGCGCTTAAAAACCAAACGCATCATTTAAACCATTTCAACGAAACGATTTTCAGAACTCTTATTTTGAAAAGGCCCGACCGTCTAATCGTCTTTTATTTTGAAATCTGCACATTTCTAGAATCATGTTTAAAATTATTTGTTTCACTTTTGTCAAGAAAAAACTGAAGAGTCAGATTTTTAATTCTAATAAGAAATAAGTTAATCAAATCTAAACCAGGACTAAACCAGGACTAAACCAGGACTAAACCAGGTCTAAACCAGGACTAAAATCAGGACTAAGACAGGACTAAACCAGGTCTAAACCAGGACTAAATTGGGGACTGAACCAGGACTAAAACAGGACTAAACCAGGACTAAACAGGACTAAACCAGGACTAAAACTAACCAGGTCTAACCAGACTAAACCAGACTAAACCAGGACTAAACAGGACTAAACAGGACTAAACCAGGACTAAACCAGGTCTAAACAGGACTAAACAGGACTAAACCAGGACTAAACCAGGTCTAAACCAGGACTACTAAACCAGGACTAGACTAACCAGACTAACCAGGACTAAACCAGGACTAAACCAGGACTAAACCAGGTCTAAACCAGGACTAAATTGGGGACTGAACCAGGACTAAAACAGGACTGAACCAGAACTAAAACAGGACTGAAACAGGACTAAACCAGGACTAAACCAGGACTAAACCAGGAATAAACCAGGACTAAAACAAGACTGAACCAGGACTAAACCAGGACTGAACCAGGACTAAACCAGGACTAAACCAGGGACTAAATAAAAAAAAAATAATAATAATAATACTAAAACTGTTTAAATTTTCTACTTTGGAATTTCTGGAAATTTCTGCACAAATTTCAGAAATATTCCTGTAGATCTCAAACGTGGATTCAAACTTCTCGTCTGGTTTGAAAAAAATTACATGAAAGATTTAAGTCGTCTTCCTTAAAAATATCCAGCTAACAGTTACAAAAATTTAACATTAATTAACAAAAATTAAAATTTCACAGCATTTTAGGAATTTTAAACTGGTCTGTTTACATTCGGGCCTCCTTACGGTTATGAGTACGAGTCTGTACGAGGCTCCGCCCACACGACAATTCTCCATAAATACACAAAAACACGACACAAAACTGGACAAACTCTGATTGTGTTGTGACAGTGCTCTGAAGGGGCAGCGACTTAGAGCAGAGAGCAACAAGCTGATCTAAATATGAAGCCAAATTCAAATGAAGGATTATTTTACGTGTTTAAATTTCGTTTTTAATCCCTGGTCCTCGTCGCTGGCGGCTGATAGCACTTTCTGTAAAAATTAAGAAAATTTTGCAAATAATTGTGTCTTTTTATTTTTTATTTTCTCATGCTTTTATTTTGAAATGAGTGCTATCCTTTGAGGCTTTTATTGTTGTGAACATCATTTACATATTATTTGCATATTGATTACGGAGATCAAAGAGGTGCCTTTTATTTTTCGAATAATTCATGTTTTTTCTGTATTTTGGGGGAGCTTAATTTGAATCGAAAATGTTTTGATTAAGCAGTGAACCTTAAATAATTTTGGAGATTTTTGTCCATTTTTTAATATTTCTGTACAGTTTTTTTCAAATTTACACTTTTTTTTTTTTTGGAGTTGCCAATTCACTCACGAAGAGAGTTATGCTGAAAAACTAATAATTATAATGTATACTAACACTTTAAATGCCGTTGGACGCGTTTCACCATGTTCCAGTCTGTTTCACGCCACAAACAGCAAAGACGTAGACAAGAAAAGTAAAAGGTTTTTCCAATTATTTCAGAAACTTTCAGAAAACAGTGGTAACGTCATTAAAAATATGAATGAAAAATGGAAATTGCACTGAAAATACTGGTACAAACTGCAAAAATGATACGAAAAAAACTAAAAAATATGGTCACAAAAGAGATAAAATTGAAAATAGTAAGAGTCATGTTTCAAATTGTGTGTTCACATTTTCTGGGAAGATTTAAGAATCCAATTTATAAATTATAATTGAGAAGAAAAAAAAAAGATCTACAACTTCAAATCAAAATTAATAAAACAATTCACATTTTTGACGAAATAATAAGATCTAAAAACTACCAAAAGTTCACAAATTCATACAAATGATTCAAAATTAAATCAAAATAAATAAAACTATTCAGATTTTTGATTCTGATAATTATTGTGTAACTATCATATCTCAAAAAAATAAAGAACGTTTTGAAATTTTAGCTCAAAATTCCAAAGAAAACCGTTTCAATTCCAAACGTGGACTAAAACCCCACACTTTGTTGTAAACATAAAACGTGTAATTATTGTAAATCTTGCTAAACTTAATTAATAATTTCATAATTTTCTCAATTTTCTACTTTTGCCATTAATCTGTTCAAATCGGGATTAGCCGTTAGCAGTTAGCCGTTAGCAGTTAGCGGTTAGCAGTTAGCCGTTAGCTGTTAGCCGTTAGCAGTTAGTCGTTAGCAGTATTTCATGTTAGTGACTCATTCTCACACACAAACATGATTTATTTTTTTTTGGTTTGTTTTTGATTTGCAGCTGATCGAGTCGGTTTAACATCTGTACGAACAAAAACAATAAAATAAAAATATGGGATGCAGCTGGAGTCTGAGGAGTTTATTTCTGATCGTGAAGTTTGTGCTACACTCACACCTGACGAGGGTGAGCAGAATCACAAAATAAAAAAACTGAAACATCCACGTTTTTTTTGTGGTTCGTAATAATAAAATTGTGAAACGGTTTGTAATTAAGAAATATTGTTGCGCAGAGACAATTTATGACCAACGTGAGTCAGGACAGTCACATTTCTTTGTGTTTTGGTCGTTTTTAAGCAGATTTTCTCTATTTTATCAAAACAAATGATGATTTATGCCTCTTTACTGTCTAGTCCTAGTCCTAGTTTAATCCTAATTTAGTCCTAGTTTAGTTCTGGTTTAGTTCTAGTTTAGTCTTCGTTTAGTTCTGGTTTAGTCCTAGTTTAGACCTGGTTTAGTCCTGGATTAATCCTGGTCCAGTCTTGATTTAGTCCTGTTTTGGTCCTGGTTTAGACCTGGTTTAGTCCTAGTTTAGACCCGATTTAAGACCTGGTTTAGACCTGGTTTAATCCTAGTTTAGTCCTAGTTTTGATATGGTATAGACCTGTGTTAGCTCTGGTTTAGTCCTGAATTAGTCCTTGTTTAGTCCTGGTTTAGTCCAAGGTTTTAGTCCTGGTTTAGATCTGGTATAATCCTGGTTTTGTCCTGTCTAGACCCAATTTAAGACCTGGTTTAGACCTGATTTAGTCCCAGTTTAGTCCTGGTTTAATCCTAGTTTAGACTTGGTTTAGTCCTAGTTTAGGTCTGGTTTAGTCCTGGTTCAGTCCTTAGTTTAGACCCCGGTTAATCCTGGTAAAATAAAGATTTACTGGTTTTGTCCTGGTCTAAACCAGGTCTAACCAGGTCTAAACCAGGGTCTAGACCTGGTTTGGTCTCATTGTTTTGTCTAGAATATTCCACATTACGGCATTAAACCTTTCTAATCTTCACAGAAACCAAACCAGACGCAGTTCCAGGTCAGATCTGCGGAGAGGCGACGCCGCTCACAGTCAAACCACCTGTGACTGAATAAATGTAAAGTCGAGCTGTTTAAAGTCACACTGCGGAACATTCCAGAGAGAACAGTGACATCTCCATAGCAACGAGCAGATGATGGACCCTCCACCAAAAAGTTCCACTGTGCAGCTTTAATATAAGACAAGTCCTAATGTTGAATAAATGAATATGTAAAAAAAAAAAAAAAAAACATACCTGAGGGGTGATTTCTGGTCCAGCAGGGGGCGCACTGAGGAGAGAAGCAGGTTAAATCAGGCTCACAACAACAACATCCATCCATCCATCCATTTTCGTCCGCTTATCCGGGGTCGGGTCGTGGGGGCAGCAGCCTAAGCAGGGACTCCCAGACTTCCTTCACCCCAGACACGTCCTCCAGCTCTTCCAGGGGGATCCCGAGACGTTCCCAGGCCAGTCCAGAGACATAGTCCCTCCAGCGTGTCCTGGGTCTTCCCCGGGGCCTCCTCCCGGCGGGACATGCCCGGAACACCTCCCGAGGGAGGCGCCCAGGAGGCATCCAGAACAGATGCCCGAGCCTCAACTGGCTCCTCTCGACGTGGAGGAGCAGCGGCTCTACTCCGAGCTCCTCCCGTGTGACTGAGCTCCTCACTCTGTCTCTAAGGGAGACGCCCAGCCACCCTGCGGAGGAAACTCATTTCGAGCGCTTGTATCCGCGATCTCGTCCTTTCGGTCACTACCCAGAGCTCATGACCATAGGTGAGAGTAGGAACGAAGACTGACCGGTAAATCGAGAGCTTCGCCTTTCGACTCAGCTCCTCTTCACCACAACGGTCCGATACAGCGACCGCATCACTGCCGACGCTGCACCGATCCGCCTGTCAATCTCACGTTCCGTCCTCCCCTCACTCGTGAACAAGACCCCGAGATACTTGAACTCCTCCACTTGAGGCAAAGATTCCCCACCCACCTGGAGAGGGCAAGCCACCTTTTTCCGGTTGAGAACCATGGCCTCGGATTTGGAGGAGCTGATCTTCATCCCAGCCGCTTCACACTCGGCTGCAAACTGCCCCAGTGCTGTAGGTCCTGGTTCGATGAAGCCAACAAACAACATCGTCTGCAAACAGCAGAGATGAAATCCTGTGGTCCCCAAACCGGACCCCCTCCGGCCCCTGACTGCACCTAGAAATTCTGTCCATAAATACAATGAACAGAACCGGTGACAGGTGCAGCCCTGGCGGAGTCCAACATGCACCGGGAACAGGTCTGACTTACTGCCGGTAATGAAGACAGCTCCTGCTCCGGTCATACAGGGACCGGACAGCCCTTAGCAAAGGGCCCCGGACCCCAGACTCCCAGAGCACCCCCCACAGGACACCATGAGGGACACGGTCGAATGCCTTCTCCAAGTCCACAAAGCACATGTGGACTGGTTGGGCAAACTCCCATGAACCTCAACCACCGATGGAGAGTGTAGAGCTGGTCCAGTGTTCCACGGACAGGACCAAAACCACACTGCTCCTCCTGGATCCGAGGTTCGACTATCGGCCGGATTCTCCTCTCCAGTCCCTGGCATAGACCTTACCGGGAAGGCTGAGGAGTGTGATCCCCCTATAGTTGGAACACACCCTCCGGTCCCCCTTCTTATACAGAGGGACCACCACCCCGGTTTGCCAGTCCAGAGGCACTGTCCCCGACCGCCACGCGATGTTGAAGAGGCGTATCAGCCAAGACCCACAACATCCAGAGACTTCAGGTACTCAGGACGGATCTCATCCAACCCCGGAGCCTTGCCACCAAGGAGTTTGCCAACCACCTCAGTGACTTCAGCCAGGGTGATGGATGAGTCCACCTCTGAGTCTCCAGCCTCTGCTTCCTCCTCGGAGGACGTGACAGTGGGATTGAGGAGATCCTCAAAGTATTCCTTCCACCGCCGGACAACGTCCCCAGTCGAGGTCAACAGCTCTCCCCCCGCACTGTAAACAGTGTTGGTGAAGAACTGCTTTCCCCTCCTGAGGTGCCGGACGGTTTGCCAGAATCTCTTTGAGGCCGTCCGATAGTCCTTCTCCATGGCCTCCCCGAACTCCTCCCAGCTCCGAGTTTTTGCCTCCGCGACCACACGGGCTGCAGCACGCTTGGCCCGCCGGTACCTGTCAGCTGCCTCAGGAGTCCCCCAAGCCAACAAGGCCCGATAGGACTCCTTCTTCAGCCTGACGGCTGCCCTTACTTCCGGTGTCCACCACCGGGTTCTGGGGTTGCCGCCGCGACAGGCACCACAGACCTTACGCCCACAGCTACGAGCAGCTGCATTGACAATAGAGGCTGAGAACATAGCCCACTCGGACTCCATATCTCCAGCCTCCCCCGGAATCCGGGAGAAGTCCTCCCGGAGGTGTGAGTTGAAGATCCCTCTGACAGAGGCTCCGCCAGACGTTCCCAACAGACCCTCACTACACGCTTGGGCCTGCCAGGTCCCTCCGGCTTCCTCCTCTGCCAGCGAACCCAACTCACAACCAGGTGGTGATCAGTTGACAGCTCAGCCCCTCTCTTCACCCGAGTGTCCAAGACACGTGGCCGGAGATCAGATGACACGACGACAAAGTCGATCATCGACCTCCGGCCTAGGGTGTCCTGGTGCCACGTGCACTTATGGACCTTGTGCTCGAACATGGTGTTTGTTATGGACAAACTGTGACTAGCACAGAAGTCCAATAACAAAACACCACTCGGGTTCAGATCGGGGAGGCCGTTCCTCCCGATCACCCCTCTCCAAGTGTCACTGTTATTGCCCACGTGGGCGTTGAAGTCCCCCAGGAGAACAACGGAGTCCCCGGTCAGTGCACTGTCTAGTACCCCTCCCAGGGACTCCAAGAAGGCCGGGTACTCGAGTACTCAGCACTGCTGTTCGGCCCGTAGGCCGACACCACAGTGAGAGACCTGTCCCCGACCCGAAGGCTCAGGGACGCGACCCTCTCGTTCACCGGGGTGAACTCCAACACACAGCGACTGAGCTGTGGGGCGATAAGCCCACACCAGCCCGCCGCCGCTCCCCCACACCAGCCCGCCGCCGCTCCCCCCCCCACACCAGCCCGCCGCCGCTCCCCGCGGCCAACGCCAGAGAAATGGAGAGTCCAGCCCCTCTCAAGGAGTTGGGTTCCAGAGCCCAAACTGTGCGTGGAGGTGAGGCCGACTATATCTAGTCGGTAACGCTCAACCTCCCGCACAAGCTCAGGCTCCTTCCCCCCAGCGAGGTGACATTCCATGTCCCCAGAGCCACAGTCTCCATGTCCGGAGATCCGGTCGTCGAGGCCCCCGCCGTCGACTGCTGCCCAGATCTCTCTGCACCGGCCCCATATGGATCCTCCTGCGGGTGGTGGGCCCACGTGAGGACGGCCCCACGTCGCTCCTTCGGGCTGAGCCCGGCCGAGCCCCGTGGGGGGAGGCTCGGCCACCAGGCGCTCGCTGACGAGCACCCACCCCAGGCCTGGCTCCAGGGTGAGGCCCCGGTGACGCCAATCCGGGCGACGTAACTGGCCTTGTTGGTTCACTCATCATAGGGGCTTCTGAACCGTTCTTCGTCTGACCCGTCCCCCCGGACCTGTTTGCCTTGGGTGACCAGGGGCATGAAGCCCCCAACAACAGAGCTCCCGGGATCATTCAGTGATCATTCAAACCCTCCACCACGATAAGGTGACGGTTCAACAACAACAACAAAACGAAAACAGACAACAAAAAACAACAACAAAAACATCACAATTTTTTGCCATATTTTTGTGTTTATTACAGAAAATACAGAACGATCTTCAGCAGGTCCAATTTTTTACGTTTTAAATCACAACTTTCACTTCTACTTTCACTTTCCTCCGTCCTCTGTGCAGGAAGCGTCTGGGGAGGGGGAGGCCGATGAACGGATGAGTTTAAATTCTATGACACTGATTTTCCCCCGCAAATAAATATAAATATACGTCACCTTTAAATAATCTTTAAAATACAAAAATAAAAGCATGCGCCCTCACAAATATCTTCTGTTTATATATTTATGTTTTAATTTAAATCAAATAAAACTCAATTATTATTATTATTATTATTTTTTTTTTCATCCTATCGTCGATCTGTTCTAGTTCTGCGCCCGTTTCTCAATCAGAGGTTCCGTTTAAAGTGCACGTGACAAGTCAGAATCCTCCATTTTTATTCCCTCATTTGATTAAAAACGTGATTTTATTTAAGATTTGAAGAATAAATTCAGATTTTTAAAAATTATTATTTTGGTGATATTTATAGTTTTAGTTCCTGGTTGGACACAGCAGCAAATGTGACCGAGAAACCACGATGTAAACAAAGACTAGACCGGGACTAAACCAGGACTAAACCAGGACCAAAACAGCACTAAACCAGGACTAGACCAAAAACTAAACCAGGACTAAATAAAGACTGGACCAGGGACTAAACCAGGACTAAACCAAGAACTAAACCAGGACTAGACCAAAAACTAAACCAGGACTAAATAAAGACTGGACCAGGGACTAAACCAGGACTAAACCAAGAACTAAACCAGGACTAAACCAGGGACTAAACCAAGACTAAACCAAGAAATACATCAAGGACTAAAACAGGACCAAAACAGGACTAAATCAAGACTGGACAAGGGACTAAAACAGGATTAAAAGAGCATTAAACCAGGACTAAACGAGAACAAAACCAGGTCTAAATCAGGCCTAAACCAAGACTGGACCAGGGACTAAACCAGGTCTAAAAGGACATTAAACTGGGTCTAAACCAGGACTAGACCGGGAACCAAACCAGGATTAAATCGAGACAGGACCAGGGACTAAACCAGGAACTAAAACAAGACCAGAACAGAGACTAAACCAGCATTAAACCAGGTCTAAACCAGGACTAAACCAAGACTTGACCAGAGACTAAACTAGGATTAAAACAGGACTAAACCAGGACCAAAACTGGACTAAACCAAGGACTAAATCAAGACTGGACCAGGGACTAAACCAGGACCAAAACCAAACTAAACCAAAGATTAAACCAGGACTAAATCAGGACTAAACCAGGACTTTGTGGCGCAGGTTTTCTGTTGTTTTCTCAGTCGTTTTTTAAATTATTCTGATCTTTGTGATTTGTAAATTTGGACGTTTCACATTTTGTTTTTTTTCGATGATTTTGTGATAAATCTTACACCTGATGCCCTCCCACTCTGATTCCCTTTTAGTTAAAAAAAAAATAAAAATCTCAGATCCCCCGTGAGGTCACTCGTTGAACTTTCTGCTACATTTCTTGACAGTTTTTTTGTTCCGTGTTTTAAAATCTGGTCTCGTTAAAAACCGTTCTGATGAAACTTTCACGATTCAGATTCGGTTTAAATGAACAGAATTCACAAAGCGGCGAAACGTGACGCCACGAACGGATGTGCAAATCACTCTCACAGCTTTGGCAGAAAATGTGGATGATTTTTGAAAATTTGTGTCCTTTTTTTTTTTGGATTATTCTCCGTGTGAGTCTGGGGTTCGGTGAGTGCAAAGCTTCTTGGAGTTTTGACGTTCTGGCTCCTGAAGACTGTGTTTCCCCAAAAACCCGTCTGGAAAAAGAGAAAAAAAAATAAAATAAATTCGCAAATATCTGAGAGTAAATTAAAAATATAAATTATAATTCTCTGACTTACTGATGTAGTGAGACGACGAGCGAGGACCTGGACTCCTCTGCCACTGTGAACAAAACACAACACCAACTCTCACCACCAGAGGGAGACAAAACAGACTAAAACAGCGACGAAACCAGGACTAAAACAGGACTAAAACAGGACTAAACCAGAACTAACTCAGGACTAACTCAGGACTAAAGCAGAACGATAGCAAGACTAAATCAGGGACTAAACCTGGACTAACCCAAGGACTAAAGCAGGACTAAAGCAGGACTAAAAGCAGGACTAAACCAGAACTAACCCAGGACTAAACCAGGACTAAATCAGGACTTACACAGGTCTAAAGCAGGTCTAATCCAGGTCTAAACCAGGGACTAACACAGGTCTAAATCAGGACTTGCACGGGTCTAAAGGAGGTCTAAAGAAGGTCTAGATCAGGATTTACAGCGGTCCAGACCAGATCTAGGTCAGGACTTCCAGGGGTCTGGATCAGGACTTCCAGGGGGGGGACTTCCAGGGTCTGGATCAGGACTTCCAGGGGTCTGGATCAGGACTTACAGGGGTCTGGATCAGGACTTACAGGGGTCTGGATCAGGACTTACAGGGGTGTGGATCAGGACTTACAGAGGTCTAGATCAGGACTTACAGGGGGTGGTCAGGACTTCATCAGGACTTCAGTCAGGGTGGATCAGGACTTACAGAGGTCTGGATCAGGACTTACAGAGGTCTAGATCAGGACTTACAGGGGTCTGGATCAGGACTTCCAGGGGTCTGGATCAGGACTTACAGGTCTGGATCAGGACTTACAGGGTCTGGATCAGGACTTCAGAGGTCTGGATCAGGACTTACAGGGGTCTGGATCAGGACTTACAGAGGTCTAGATCAGGACTTACAGAGGTCTGGATCAGGACTTACAGAGGTCTAGATCAGGACTTACAGAGGGTCTGGATCAGGACTTACAGAGGTCTGGATCAGGACTTACAGGGGTGTAGATCAGGACTTACAGAGGTCTGGATCAGGACTTACAGAGGTCTGGATCAGGACCTCCAGGGGTCTAGTCCGGGTCCAGGCCTGTACTCACGGCGTGCTTGTGGACGTGCTGCAGGTGCTGGTAGGTCCTGTAGGAGATGTCTCCTTTGTCTCGTCCCTGGTCCAGGTCGGGGCTGTAGATGTGAGAGACTCCGGCCGCTCGGATCAGAGGGAGACACTCGTCACACGGACACTTGGTCACGAAGAGCAGAGACGCCGAGCAACAAGCCACATCCCCAGTACACCTAGTAGTAGCGTAGCAGTAGCAGTAGTAGTAGCAGTAGCAGTAGCAGTAGTAGCAGTAGTAGCAGTAGCAGTAGCAGTAGTAGTAGCAGTAGTAGTAGCAGTAGTAGCAGTAGTAGTAGCAGTAGTAGCAGTAGTAGTAGTAGTAGCAGTAGTAGTAGTAGTAGTAGTAGTAGTAGTAGCAGTAGTAGTAGCAGTAGTAGTAGCAGTAGTAGTAGCAGTAGTAGCAGTAGTAGTAGTAGTAGCAGTAGTAGTAGCAGTAGTAGTAGTAGTAGTAGTAGTAGCAGTAGTAGTAGCAGTAGTAGTTAGTAGTAGTAGTAGTAGTGTAGTAGTACAGTAGTAGTAGTAGTAGTAGTACGTAGTAGTGTAGTAGTAGTATTGTAGTATTGTAGTAGTAGTACATGTAGTATTGTAGTATTGTAGTAGTAGTACATGTAGTATGTAGTACATGTAGTATTGTAGTATTGTAGTATGTGTAGTACATTAGTAGTATTGTAGTATTTAGTAGTAGTTGTAGTATGTGTAGTATAGTAGTATTGTAGTATTGTAGTAGTAGTAGTATTGTAGTATGTAGTGTAGTAGTATTGTAGTATTAGTGTAGTATTGTAGTATTGTAGTATTGTAGTATTGTAGTATTGTAGTATTGTAGTATAGTATGTAGTATTGTAGTTGTAGTACATGTAGTATTGTAGTATTGTAGTAGTAGTTGTAGTATGTAGTATTGTAGTAGTATGTAGTAGTACATGTAGTATTGTAGTATTGTAGTATTTGTAGTATTGTAGTATATGTAGTACATGTAGTACATGTAGTATTGTAGTATGTAGTATTGTAGTATTGTAGTACATTAGTAGTAGTATTGTAGTATTAGTAGTACGATTGTAGTATTGTAGTAGTAGTACATGTAGTATTGTAGTACATGTAGTATGTAGTATTGTAGTATTGTAGTATTGTAGTATTGTAGTATATGTAGTATGTAGTATGTAGTATTGTAGTACATGTAGTATTGTAGTATGTAGTATTGTAGTAGTTGTAGTACATGTAGTATTGTAGTATTGTAGTATTGTAGTAGTAGTATAGTAGTACATGTAGTATTGTAGTATTGTAGTATTGTAGTACATGTAGTATGTAGTATTGTAGTTGTAGTTTGTAGTACATTGTAGTATTAGTATTGTAGTATTGTAGTATTGTAGTACTGTAGTACTGTAGTACTAGTACCTGAAGGTGAGCGCGTTCTGCTCCGCGTGGATGATGTATCTGTATTTCCGTCTCTGTCGATCTTCTTGTTTGTCGTCCATCTGAGGAAACTCGTTGAAGTGTGATCCAGACGGGTAAGCGTTAAAACCACAGCCAACCAGGTACAGACCCCCCATGAGAGCGGGACCACAGCCAGGACAGGACTCAACCAGGACCAGGACCAGGACTCAACCAGGACCAGGACCAGGACCAGGACTCAACCAGGACCAGGACCAGGACCAGGACCAGGACCAACCAGGACCAGGACCAGACCAGGACCAGGACCAGGATCAACCAGGACCAGGACTCAACCAGGACCAGGACCAGGACTCAACCAGGACCAGGACCAGGACTCAGGACCAGGACCAGGACCAGGACCAGGACTCAACCAGGACCAGGACCAGGACTCAACCAGGACCAGGACCAGGACCAGGACTCAACCAGGACCAGGACCAGGACCAGGACCAGGACCAACCAGGACCAGGACCAGGACCAGGACTCAGGACCAGGACCAGGACCAGGACTCAACCAGGACCAGGACCAGGACTCAGGACCAGGACCAGGACCAGGACCAGACTCAACCAGGACCAGGACCAGGACCGACCAGGACCAGGACCAGGACCAGGACCAGGACCAGGACTCAACCAGGACCAGGACCAGGACCAGGACCAGGACTCAACCAGGACCAGGACCAGGACTCAGAACCAGGACTGAACCAGGACTGAACCAGGACTGATCATGGTTCCCTCTCAAACAACATTTCCAAACTTTTCCATGACTTTTTTATGAGCCAAAGTGAATTTTCCATGACTTTCCAGCACCTACATGTGTAGAACTGATGATAGTTTTAGTTCTAAATCTGAAAAGTTTAACTCTTTCCACTCACTTTATGGTTTGGGATTATAGTTTTTGAACATTTTAAATCCCGTCAGTGTTTTTATTGTCGTCTCTTTAAACAAAAAACTCAGACGTTCACAAATAATCAGAACAAACTCATGAGAACTGAACACAACACTGGAGCTGAGGGAAAGAGACACTAAAACTCCAGGACTTTTCCAGGTCTGGAAAATTACATTTTCAATTTCCATGATTTGTCCAGGATCTTTCAACCAGGACTAAACCAGGAGGACTACTGAACCAGAACCAGGACTGAACCAGGACTAAACCAGGACTAAACCAGGACTAAACCAGGACTGAACCAGGACTGAACCAGGACTAAACCAGGACTAAACCAGGACTAAACCAGGAACCAGGAACCAGGACTAAACCAGAACTGAACCAGGACTGAACAGGAACCAGGACTAAACCAGGACTAAACCAGGACTAAACCAGGACTAAACCAGGAACTAAACCAGGAACTAAACCAGGACTAACCAACCAGGACTGAACCAGGACTAAACCAGAACTGAACCAGGACTAAACCAGGACTAAACCAGGACTAAAACCAGGAACCAGGACTAAACCAGGACTAAACCAGGACTAAACCAGGACTAAACCAGGACTGAACCAGGACTAACCAGGACTAAACCAAACCAGAACTGAACCAGGACTAAACTAAACCAGGACTGAACCAGGACTAAACCAGGACTAAACCAGAACTGAACCAGGACTAAACCAGGACTAAACCAGGACTAAACCAGGACTAAGGTCTGATCTGGTTTGACAGTTGTTAAATGTTAAAATGTTTCAAATGTTTAAAGTGAAACTCACGTGTTTCCTTTTGGCCCAGATGACGGAGCCGACGCCCACTTTGGGGTCGTCTGCAATGAAGATCACAGGTTTAGACTCAAAGACCTGAAGAAAACAAGACTGAGCCTCCAGCCCGACCAGACCTGTTCTGTAGGACAGGAGCCGAGCCTGGACCATGCAGTGAACCGCCACCTCTGCAGAGACCGGACCAGAGACCGGACCAGAGACCGGACCAGAGACCGGACCAGAGACCGGACCAGAGACCGGACCAGAGACCGGACCAGGATCTGGACCAGACTGAGACTGAGGAGGAGCATCTGAACTCGACCTGGAGGAGAAAAGGATAAAGTTACATTTTCCTCATATATTTGAGCTCGTCTTGGCCCAGTACAGATTAATTGTGTTGACAGTTTGCAGTGACATCATGTCGGGGGGTTCTACATGGACTGCACGGAGAAAAAGTTACAGGCAGGTGTGGAAAATACTTTAAACTAGGAATGATTTCAGAAATGGAAGAGTAAATTATTTATTTACAATCAACAAAATGCGGTGAATGAACTTGAAATGAATTTTCACAGCTGCCTAAAACTTTTGCACAGTACTGTATGGATGTCTATGGTGGAATATTCAGCAGTTTCCACAGAGACACAATGCACACGTCAGCGATGTTCAGTACGACTCAGAGCTGTTCACCTGTCGGAGCTCATACCAACATCTTACAAGTCGAACAAAACCTCAGACAGAGCAGTGGTCTAGATCAGGTCTAGACCGGGACTTAAAGCGGGTCTAGATCGGAACTTAAAGCGGGTCTAGATCGGGACTTAAAGCTGGTCTAGATCGGGACTTAAAGCTGGTCTAGATCGGGACTTAAAGCGGGTCTAGATCGGGACTTAAAGCGGGTCTAGATCGGGACTTAAAGCGGGTCTAGATCGGGACTTAAAGCGGGTCTAGACCGGGACTTAAAGCGGGTCTAGGGACTTAAAGCGGGACTTAAAGCGGTCTAGATCGGACTTAAAGGGTCTAGATCGGGACTTAAAGCGGGTCTAGATCGGGACTTAAAGCAGGTCTAGATCGGGACAAAAGCAGGTCTAGACCGGGACTAGATCAGGTCTAGATCAGGAATAAATGTCAGAATAAAGTCCAACAGAGCGTCAGACAGAGCAGTGCCTCCTGTTAGCTTTAGTTGTGTGTTTTTCCGGAGAGTTCCTTCACCTGTAGAAGCCGTAGTCCTTGTAGCGCGGGACTCCTGCGATCACGGCCGACAGGACCTGCACCAGCTGCTCCATGTTGTGTCTCAAACCGCAGAAGTACGGATCCACACGGAAGTTCTCCAGACTCATGAGGGACAAGAGCTCCTGATGTTCCTCTGAAGAACCCACCAAGAACCGAGACGAGAGCAGAGACAGAACCCTCAAACGCTCCCTGAAAAACACCCAGGGTGAGACCGGACCGGGACCGGACCGGACCGGGACCGGACCGGGACCGGACCGGGACCGGACCGGGACCGGACCGGACCAGGACCTGACCAGGACCGGACCGGGACCGGGACCGGGACCGGACCAGGACCGGACCGGACCAGGACCAGGACCTGACCAGGACCGGACCAAGACCGGACCAGGACCGGACCAGGACCAGGACCTGACCAGGACCGGACCAAGACCGGACCGGGACCGGACCGGGACCGGACCGGGACCGGACCGGGACCGGACCGAGACCGGACCGGGACCGGACCGGGACCGGACCGGACCAGGACCTGACCAGGACCTGACCAGGACCGGACCGGGACCGGGACCGGACCGGGACCGGACCAGGACCGGACCGGACCAGGACCTGACCAGGACCGGACCAAGACCGGACCAGGACCGGACCAGGACCAGGACCTGACCAGGACCGGACCAAGACCGGACCAGGACCGGACCAAGACCGGGCCAGGACTGGACCAGGACCGGACCAGGACCGGACCAGGACTGGACCAAGACTGGACCGGGACTGGACCGGGACTAAACCAGGATTGGACTAAGACCGGACCAAGACTGGACCAAGACTGGACCAGGGCCGGACCAGGACTGGACCAGGACTGAAACAAGACTAGACCAGGACCGGACCAGGACTGGACCAGGACCGGACCAGGACCGGACCAGGACCGGACCAGGACTAAAACAGGACTGAAACGGGGACTGGACCAGGACTAAAACAAGACTCAAACAGGGACTAAACCAGGACTAAACCAGGACTAAACCAGGACTAAACCAGGACTGTCCCAGGAGCAGAGACGGCCTCAGCGGCGCCCCCACCTGTTGTAAATCTGCTCTAGATCCACTCCGGCTTCGTCTTCTGCGATTTTCTCCATAAAATCTCCGTTTTTTGAGGTTTCGGTCACAAACTGGGCGAGTCCGGGCGCCAGCGGCTGCAGCGGGACGCAGATGTGAGCCCGACTGTTCGACTTGAGTTTGTCTGAGGCCAGAGCGTCTAAAGCTGCTTCCTCTGAGATCCTGAGCACTGAAGCATCATGGGACGTGTAGTTTTCTGAAGGCTGCGCTCTCAACATGGACACCTCAGGATCCCCGGGCCAGAAGCAGACCTCACTCACACCGGCTGGACACCACGAACAAGAAGAAGAACAAGAAGAAGAACAAGAAAAGAACAAGAAGAACAAGAAGAACAAGAGATAAAAATAATAAAAAAGTAATAAAGGAAATCAAACTCAAGGTTACGCAGCTGCTCAGAGTCTGAAGTCTAACGACGGTACAATAAAACTAAGAGGAGCAGGAGAAGGAAAATCTGTGTTTCATTCAGTTTTCAAAATAAAACCAAAAATAAAAACAAAAATATGTGATTTTCTTCATTATTTGTCTCCAAAACCAAAAAAACAGATAATGATTTGTTTTTTCAGTTTTCGATTTTGTGTTTAAATGAAAAATGGAAAAAACGGATAATGGACTAAACCAGAACTGAACCAGGTCTTGGACCAGACCAGGACTGACCTGTTTCAGTCCCGGTCTCAGTCCCGGTCTCAATCACGGTCTCGGTCTGGTTTCGGTCCCAGTCTGGTCTTGGTCCCAGTCTCGGTCCCAGTCCGGTCTTGGTCCCAGTCTTGGTCCCAATCACGGTCTCAGTCCTGGTCCTGTTCCCAGTCTCAATCCTGGTTTCAGCTCTGGTCTGATCCCGGTCTCAGTCCCAGTCCTGGTCGCGCACTCAGTCCTTGTCTGGTCCCGATCTAAGTCCCGATCTAAGTCCCGGTCGGTCTCAGTCCCGGTCTCAGTCCCGGTCTCAGTCCCGGTCTCAGTCCCGGTTTAGTCCATTATCCGTTTTTTCCATTTTTCATTTAAACACAAAATCGAAAACTTAAAAAACAAATCATCTGTTTTTTTCATTTTGGTTTTGGAGACAAATAATGAAGAAAATTGTTGCTTTGTCGTTTTATTATTTTTGGTTTTATATTGAAAAACGTCTGAACGAGTATTTGTAGTATTTGTGTAGTATTCTTGTAGTAGTATTTGTGTAGTATTCTTGTATTATTCTTGTAGTATTTGTGTAGTATTCTTGTAGTAGTATTTGTAGTATTCTTGTAGTAGTATTTGTAGTAGTATTTGTAGTATTCTTGTAGTAGTATTTGTAGTAGTAGTAGTATTCTTGTAGTAGTATTGTAGTATTCTTGTAGTAGTATTTGTAGTATTCTTGTAGTAGTATTTGTAGTAGTATTTGTAGTATTCTTGTAGTAGTATCTGTAGTATTCTTGTAGTAGTATTTGTAGTAGTATCTGTAGTATTCTTGTAGTAGTATTTGTAGTAGTATCTGTAGTATTCTTGTAGTAGTATTTGTAGTAGTATCTGTAGTATTCTTGTAGTAGTATTTGTAGTAGTATCTGTAGTATTCTGTAGTAGTAGTAGTATTTGTAGTAGTATTTGTAGTATTCTTGTAGTAGTAGTAGTATTTGTAGTAGTATTTGTAGTATTCTTGTAGTAGTATTTGTAGTATTCTTGTAGTATGCGAGTGTCTTTGTACCGTTGATGATCATCTTGAGGCAGGTGGCACACGGGCGTCTGGAGAAATACAAACTGCTCTGAGACAGTTTGGCTCCGTGGTCTAAGACGGCGGCTTGTCCAGCGTGAAGCTCCGAGCCTGAAGAGTGAAGACCAACCACTTTACCGTCCTTCACCACCACCAGACCCACCGGGTTTATCTGAAACAAACCAGAAACATCATCATCTACAACACCACCAGAGCCAGAGGATTAATCTGGGGACGCAAAATACATCACAACACCGGAAACAACATGAGAACAGAGCAGAGGAAACATCACCAGATCAACAGGGGACACAAAATAAATCAGTCCACCGTAAACAACATCAGGGGTTCTTTCACTTTTTGAGGTCAGGGAGCTTTAATTCACATGAAAATATCACAAGGACGTGTTCGTTCTCCACAACAGTATTCCACTAAAATTCAGAAGTTTAATTCATGCATTTTTATAAACACATTCACCTGGAGGGTTCATTTCTCACTGTTCTGCTTTTATTGTTGTTTTCAGCAGAAACAGTGTTTTGGGTTTGAATATCACAGGACTTTTTTTGAGGCTTATTTAAGTAATGACCAACGTTTTTGCAATTTTTTAGAGTCGCCCAAGACATGTCCCAAGGACCCCCAGGGGTCCCCGAACCTGAACCCCAAACCACTGATATAAAACACCTCCAGGACCATGGGGTTTGTCTCAGGACACAATATAGATAAAAACAAAACAAAAAAAAAACTGTTTTTACATTGTAGGCCATTTTGACATGTTAATATGACAGCTCTTCTGTTCTGATTAGATGTAAAACACATCTAAACAATAATAATGTAATACTCACTGCTGTTACTGCTGTAGATTACATTAAAGCATCATCAGATGTTTGAAACACGGTTCATAATGACCAGTGTTCTGATACTCACCACTGAGGAGCTCAAAGCACTGACTGAATGTTCAGAGAAACACTGAGCTTTCAACTGTGCGATTAGCTGGGATTCATGGAACCATAGTTACTTTCATAACTTCTGTGAACTGACTGCTGCTGCTGCTGCTGCTGCTGCTGCTGCTGATGATGATCGTCTTCTGTTTGATCCTGAGGGAAAATCTCCATCCACAAACTGAGCAGAGTGAAGAGGTTTCCTTTGGACAGACGAGGAGCCTGACCTGAAACAAAAAGAGAACCAGAGGGAAAGAAAGAGAGAGAGAAACAGGAGGATGTAAAAGAACTGTCAAACCACAACAGACAGAAGAGCAAAAAGAAAACACACCGTCACAAAAATCTAACACTAAACCACAGACTGGCCTGGAGCAGAGAGAGAGGAATGTCAACCAACTCCCCAACCACAAAATGAACCCGAAAGAATCAGAAGTGGGAGAGTTACAGACATTTCAAACCTGGATTTTGTCCTTGTGAACATGATCAGCTGAACGCACGTAATGAATGGCTTTTGTTTGAAGTGATTCTACTGCAAACCTCAAAGCCTCGTGCGCTCCTACGACTATTCAAATTCTGAGTGTGACAGTCTAAAGATAGAACAGGTGCAACACTCTGATAAATAACAGAGCTTCATCTACTCCTGCACAAAACACGAGATAATGACCGAGTTACTACAACACACAGATCGTTCATTAGAATCATTTGGATCATTTCAGACCAGGAATTGTCAATTTCTACTGAATAAAATGAGCTGTTCACTAGAAAACTACCACTAAATGACATCATGAGGTGGAACAGAGCATGTTGAGGTTTGGAGATGTGACAGACTCGTGTGTGAATGAAACAAAACACAACTCCAGGTCTGTTTTTGAGGAGGGAACATCATTTTAACATGGCTTAAAGCTCTCAGGAGTGCATGTTTCGTAATTCAGGACCTTGAAACTGTTACTATACAAGTGTAAAAAGACAAATAACATGACAGTGACGTAATACTTACTGCTTTTACTGCTATTGATGACGTTAAAGCATCATTAAGTGGAGTGCATTATCTGTTTTAAACCCAGTGTCCGTGTCCGTTTCCCTCCGTAAACTTGGTGTCTGGTTCTCCGCTCTCACCTTGTCCTCTGCTGTCCGTCTGCACGCCTCTCTCCCGGGCTGGCCCCGCTCGGCTCGGCCCGGTCCGGTCCCGTGGGCCGATCTGCTCCATTCAGAACCCGCTGGACCCGCTCCAAAGACCCTGGAAGAGAAACGAACCCGCGGAGAGGCGATAACAGCTGATCTGAGCCCGGACCCCAAAGCCAATTTACGCGCAGCTCCTCGGACATCCGGAGCGCCCTTCACAATACACGAGTTTAACATGAAAATACGAGCTTTAAATGGAAAATGACGACTAAAATAGAATTATTATAGTGGTATTGTTATTAACACGTAATAAATGGTTTGTATTAAAACTCCACGGAGCTAAAAGTTTGAACATTTTTGCTCAAATTTGTAATAAATAAGGATAGCCATGGATCTATTATTATAAAAAAATATCTATTAAACTATAAAATAAACCTATAAAAAATAAACATAAAATAAACCTATAAAAACATAGAAAATATACAAAATTATATAATAACAACAATAAAAAATATATAAAATAAAATATAACAACTATATAAACTATAAATAAATATAACTATAAAAATAACTATAAAATAAAACTATAAAAAATAACTATAAAATATCTATTAAAATAAATAGGATAGCCCATTGAGTTCTATGCGGATCGTTAAAATATATTTAACAATCAAAATTATAGTTTATGACAACTAAAAAAAAAAACATATATTTTCTTAATTTTTGGTGTAATTCACAATCATGTTTAAAAAAAATATATATATAAAAATATCGGTTTTAAAAGCTGTTCCGGATGTAGCTGTTAGCCGGGTGTTAGCATTTTTAGCTTGACGTCCCGGAGCTCACTTCCGCAAACATCACGTGACGTAACGGTCGTAATAAAAAAATAAACTATAATAAAAAGTACGTTCTGGAAATGAAATTGAAACTAAAAATACTTAAAAGCGTAACATTAAAACAATTTTAAAAAAATGTAAAATGAAAATATAAGTTAAAAGAAGAACAGATAGTGCAGAGAGGTTAGCGCTGCGACTCACAGTCAATACTTACATCGAGAAGGTTTTTCATATTTGGCCTCTGCTCCTGATAGATTTAACCCAAGAACACTGAAGGGGGTCAAATAATAAAAAAAAACACACATTTCTGTACATATAATACACAAAAAAGGCAGTAGAAGAAACAGTATTTATTTTCTATATGGTCATAAAAAACTAGTCATGTGTAACATACAAGTAACAGCATAAAACAAAAACATGGAAAGCCCTTAAGTCAATGCGCATGTTAAGAAAATAAAGCGATTTAATAATAACAGACAGTCTGCAGCAGCGCATACATATTTAGAAAATGGTAAACATGTCCTTTAGCTTTTAGTAACTGTTATAAGAGAAAAAGAGAGAGGTGCAGTGCTTAAAAATATAAAACTCAGCACGAACCAAGCCTTTGCATCCGACCTCAACAAAAAACTGCAGTCCTAAACCTAAATTTACAGCATTTCAAGGAATACAGTAGTGGTTATAAGACTCACTTGCATTGCTTCTTCACTGCAAAAGTTCAGTAAAGGTTAAATTCACACCATTCTGAAATTTGATGGAGGACACAGGTTTGTATAAATCTCCAAACTTCTGCTACACAAATGTTTCTTCTTTTCATTCTTTGTTTGAGATCAGCTGCACAAACTCATCATATGAATTGTACGGTTTTAAAGTCCTTTCTGCTGAAACTCTGAGGTCTTTGGGGCTGAATAACGGCTCCATTTTCTGAAGCGACTGTGGAAAAAATCCTGCGACTTTTGTTTATTTCTCCTGACAGAGACGATGCTGAACTTCATGACAGTTTTTGTTTCATGAGGATAGGCCCAGGAATTACAGAGATATAAACCATAAACAGGTCACACTTCTGTTTCTGTTTTAGTTCTACTTATTCAAACCTCATTTCAAGCCAAAAGATCCATAAAAGCAGTCATAAAGCAATTGTAACAAGCACCTTAATGCCTTAAGATAAACTTATAAACTTCTCAACAGTATTTAAAAGGTGCATTGTGTAACTTTTCTAGTGGAGAGTCCGTCAAAAATAGTTCGTTTTTGAGTTGATTTTAAGATTTTATTGTTTGTTTTTAAAGCTTTTTTAAAGTTCTGGCCCCAGGTTACGTCTCAGACCTCGTCCAGATTTACTCCTTCTGAGGTCCGAGGTCCAGCTCCAGCTCATGGGACCTAAGACGGGACTTAAAACCAGGAGGACAGGACCTTCTCTGTGACTCTAGAACGCTCTGGAACGCTCTGGAATGCTCTGGAACGCTCTGGAACGCTCTGCTTCCCCACATCCCAACAACCCCCACAGAGGAGAGTTTTAAGTCTTGTCTTAAAACCCACTTTTACTCTGTGGCTTTTAACTCCGCTTGAGTCGTGTGTGTCCTCTGTGTCTTTTATTAAATGTATTTACTTTACTCTACTTCTATGTTTTGATTTTGATTTTATGTGATTTTACCAGTTTTGTTGTTTTGGACTTTGGAAATTGCTTTGGATTTGGATTTGCAACACTGAGATGTTGTTTTGTCCGAAATGTTTCACAGCATGACATTAAACCTTTCTATCTCCACGGAGACCAAACCAGACGGTGTTCCAGGTCAGATCTGTGGAGAGGCGACCCCGCTCACAGTCACAAAGTGTGTTTTTCGAGGTATCTTTGAGCTGTAAAACCACCTGTAGTTGAATAAATGTGAAGTAGAGCTGTTTAAAGTCGCACTGTGGAACATTCCGGGCAGAGCAATGACACAGAAACAAGCAGGTGACAGAACGACGACTAAAAAGTTACACAGTGCACCTTTACATCAGCCTAATATTGTAACTGCGAGTCGTTTGGACGCTCGTTTCTCCGTGGAGACTTTCTGAATGAACTTGGTAAGTCTTTCCGTCTCATTAACGAGAGTGTTGACGTTTGACTGGCCTGTCCGAGGTTTTTCCAGCAGTTAAATAAAACTAAAATAATACAGATTTTATCAACTATTTGTACTTGCATTCAGTGTTATTGCAGTTCTGTGGAATCAAAACTACAGTACTACTAACAAGGACGGGACGAGACACGAAAACGAGAAAACGAGAAAACGAAAAAACGAGAAAATGAGAGGAGAGTTTACATTTTCCTGATTTCTCCTCCTGAGACTCGGCCTGTTCATTCGTGTCCTTTCTAGTGGACATTGCGTTAATCAGTCCATCTTCAGTCTATCTTTAAAAAATAAAATAAAATAAGTAAATTAAAAGAGTATAAAAACTTTTTGAGGCGACTGTAGGAGCTCGTCAGAGATGTTGGTCATTAAAAAGTTGTTTTTGTCGTTTTGTTTTTCAATTTCACCTGGATTTAAAACCAAAATGTCCTTGGCGTCCATTACAGAGGACAAATAAATAAATGCAATTATAAATAAAAATAAAATGAACGAAATCTAAATGCTAATCCAAATAAATAGAAAATTTAAAAAAAATTGCAATACACTTTTTTTTTCTTCAGGTCCCAGGAGGATTTATATTTTGCAATTGCCACTGTAAAATTTTGTCCTCACAATTTATATTTATTTTATTTAATATTTTGTTGTGATTCAAGCATTTCTTGTACAAATGTAACTCACCAACACTTCACCGTTTTTTGTCCAATCTAAACATAAACACAAATGTTACGAGATCATTTTTCTCTCTCTTGTTTTTGCGTTTTTGTCTCACGAGATCTTGTCCCGTCCCGAACTAATAAACTACTTTTTTTCAATAAAAATAAATCCAAAAAAGTACAGTTCAGGAAAATTATCTGTAAAAATGCATCTAAAATCTACTCAAAATACTTCCGTCTTTGCATCATTCAAAACATGAAAATAAAAGAATCATATAATAATCATATTTTCATCTCATTAGGTTTAAAAGGTGAACTATAATGCCGCCTGCTCGTTTCCATGGAGACGTTACTGGTTTGCCTGGAATGTTCCACAGTATGGCATTTCAGTTATCATGTATATGTTCAATTACAGGGGTTTTTATTGCTCAAAAACAGCATGAAAACAGTGAGGGGACTCGCCTTTTCTCAATACTGACCGAACTGTGTCTGATGATGTTAACCCAGGCAGAGTTACAGGTCAGATCTGCGCAGAGGCGAGTCAGCGCACAGAAAGAATGCATGTTTTTCGAGGTACTAGTGCAATAAAAACTCCTGTAACTGAATAAATGCCAGGTCACTTTAATACAGAGTTTCCTATAGATTTTGTTCAGACTATTGTGGTTTAAATTTCATAATAATAATAATTCTCTTTAGTAAAATTTGTGGAGTTTAAATGTGACGTTTTTTCCTGTAATTCATATTTAAGCTGTGTTTTTGAACAGTGCGAGTACTTTTTATGTTCATTTTTCACCTTATTCCAAAAGTTGCTGTAAGCGCCGGCGTCATTATTCAGGTTGTTTTATTTTGTATGGGGCTGCTGATCTTTACAGCAAAGAAGTTTATGTTACGGTCCCAGTCTCCAGTTCTCCAGTTCTCTGACTTGTTTTGTGTGTGTTTTAATTTCTTTTAGATGTTCCTCCTGATTCCTGCCATGAAAGACCTAGTCCCTGATTCAGAGTTCTCTCTTTTTCACTGACAACATTTCTAAAACTTTTCACAACTTTTCCATGAGCTAAAGTGAATTTTCCATGACTTTGTGGCTCCTCCATGTGTAGAATTGATCATAGTTTTAGGTGTAAATCTGAAACATTAACTCTTTCCTCTCACTTTATGGTTTGGGATTATAGTTTTTGAAACATTCTAAATCCTGTCAGTGCATTTACTGTCGTCTCTTTTAAACAAAAGACTCAGACGTTCACAAATAATCAGAACAGACTCATGAGAACTGAACACAACACTGGAGCTGCTGGAAAGAGACACTAAAATTCCATGACTGTGGGAAACCTGCTGATCTGTGGGACATTTCTACACCTGCCCAGTCCTGCTTCACCTGTACCCTCCTCCTCCTCCATTTAAGAAAATCCTCGACACATGTTCAGGGCGGCTGGGATTTCACTCGAACAGCGGCTCAGTTCTGTGTCTCTCGTGTCGTGAGTCTCTCTGTGGTTTATTTCTGTAACTCTGACTTTGGTTTTACGAGACACTTGTTCCTTGTGTCTTTAGTTTTCTCGTCATGTTGATTTTACGGGACTCTGTATGAGACACTCGAAGTCATGCGTATGTTTGTTGTGTTGCCGTTCTTTTGGTTCATTCCTGTACAATTAGTTTGCTTTGAAACCTTTATGTACATATTTTTGCATGTTTTGTTAATTTAACCTTTTTTACAATCCTGTTTATTAAATTATTAGTTTATTTATACCCTTTTTTCATCTTGGTTTTTCTTAGTTCCCTTTTCCTAGCAGGTTTCCCAGACGATAATTACGGACGATAAAGCCGTTTTAAAGCCGCCAAAGAATCGGTGCAGACAAAAACTGAACATTTTACGCAAATAAACCGACTTTTTTCAGATTTAAGATGCTAAACTCTTCTGAAATTCTCCATCAACACGAGTGGGATTCTCATTTAACAAGAAAAAGCGCGGTTTAGGTGGAATAATGTGGATAATACAGAGAGAAACGTTGACATTTCAGACTAGGGGAGCCACTACAGTCTCTTCTATTAATGCGACACTGTGGAACATTCCAGGCAAAGCAACAACATCTCCATGGAGACACCAGAAAGTTACATAGTGCATCTTTAACCACACCTTGTTTACGTTTTGGTCAACAACTTTAAAGAGGCTGTACCTGATTTTTTTCCAAGTATTTGAGCAGAATGTGTCTCTCCCCAGCACATTTACATTTCAGGAAGTGCTCGTTAGCATGTTATTTGTTTTCTCTGGGGTGTGAGAGTTGTGAAAAGTGCTTTTAAACTCATCATGGTGAATATTTAGGACGCTAAGAGACGAAGAACTTTGGAGCTCTGCAAACTGTTTCAGATTAAGTAGTTTTTTTTGTTTTTTTTTTACAATTTTAAGAGAAAAAAAAAAAATCAGGTACGGCTCCTTTAACAAAGCAGATGAATCCACACCGACGTCCCTTCAAACTGGCTCAAAAATTCAAGTAAAAGAGAAACTTACAAAACAAAACGCCGTCTCGTTTTGTCCACGGAAAGAAAGAGGAAAGTGCCGGAGTTTGTCGACATTTTTGGTCTTTGCTTTGAGAGTTTTTGGTGAGACTTTTGGTGTTTTAGTTTTTCTCTCTCTCAGTTCTTAAAGGCTCCACAGCGGCTGGCTCTGCTGATAAACTCCTTCAGCATGGAACCGTCGCTCTGCCAAAACGCCTGCGTCTGGGTCACCTGCGTTAAGTGGTTCACACAGAATCGAAAACAGAACTCTTCCAAATCCTGACGAGACAAAAACAGAGAGCAGATGAGACGAGCAAATCAGGTTAGACTCAGATTATAAAATTACACGTCTTCTGATCTCTTCTAATGCAGTTTCCTCGTCACAAACGGACCTGGAGTTGTGTTTTGTTTCATTCACACACACAAACACACACAAACACACACAAACCCTCAGATCTTGATGTCTGAGTGACACAATATTTCCGATCAGACTCAAACAAATAAAAGAGCACAGGTCTGCACAGGACCAGAGCAGACAGGACCAGAGCAGACAGGACCAGAGCAGACAGGACCAGAGCAGACAGGACCAGAGCAGACAGGACCGTCTCTGTGTTTGCTCCACGACTGTGAAACACTTTGCCTTTGCACATCAGAACTGCACAGTCACTGCAGCACTTTAAAACACTAACATGGCACTTTGCTATGTGCTACACAAGAACATTTGATTTGATTTTAACTGGATTAAACTAAAACTAAAATATTAGTTAGTATTCAACAAAACAAGGAGGAACATGAAAACCTGTCAAATGAAGTTTAAGTATTTAGTGTAAGACAGGAGCAGACAGGAGCAGACAGGAGCAGACAGGAGCAGACAGGAGCAGACAGGAGCAGACAGGAGCAGACAGGAGCAGACAGGAGCAGAAGTGTGCACTATGGAACTTTTCTATGGACTAAAACCAGGACTAAAATCAGGTCTAAATCAGGTCTAAATCAGGTCTAAACCAGGTCTAAAATCAGGTCTAAACCAGGTCTAAAGTCAGGTCTAAAGTCAGGTCTAAAATCAGGTCTAAACCAGGACTAAAGTCAGGTCTAAACCAGGTCTAAAATCAGGTCTAAACCAGGACTAAAATCAGGTCTAAAGTCAGGTCTAAAATCAGGTCTAAACCAGGACTAAAATCAGGTCTAAAGTCAGGTCTAAAGTCAGGTCTAAACCAGGACTAAAGTCAGGTCTAAACCGGGTCTAAAATCAGGTCTAAACCAGGTCTAAAATCAGGTCTAAACCAGGACTAAAATCGAGACTAAAATCAGCAGGAGCAGACAGCAGCAGGCAGGAGCAGGCAGGAGCAGGCAGGAGCAGGCAGGAGCAGACAGGAGCAGGCAGGAGCAGGCAGGAGCAGAGACAGGAGCAGGCAGGAGCAGGCAGGAGCAGGCAGGAGCAGACAGGAGCAGGCAGGAGCAGGCAGGAGCAGACAGGAGCAGACAGGAGCAGGCAGGAGCAGACAGGAGCAGGCAGGAGCAGGCAGGAGCGTCTCACCTCAGCGTCGTACTTGATGGCAGCAGAGAGCAGAGTGAAGGCGTTCTCCACAGTGATTCCTCTCTTGATGATCTGTTGACACAAACGCTTCAGACGATTCTCGCAGTACGACGTGGCCAAGTCCAGCAGCCCTGGAAAGACATTCAATTATCAGTAAATTATAGATTCACGTTTGATTAATTGTGCCTTAAGTGAGGACGACACTCGCTCTGACAAAACTTTATAAACACGAGTGAGTCTGGAGCCGTGTTCTGTCTCCCTGATTCAAGAGGGTTTGATTGACAGCAGGATTAACCAATCAGAGAGAAACACGGTCAGTCTGAGTCAAAAACATGACGGTTTACACGTAAAAAAGGGGAAAAAGAAACGCAGGGGACTAAGAAACGGCAACTTTCTGCAGAATAAACAGTCAAAGCACAAAACTCAGGTAAAAGAAGTGATATATTTAGTTCTGAATGACCCAGAGTTTAAGAGGAGAGGTCTTCTACATTTCAGAAACACATGATAGAAAGGGAAAAATATTTAAGTATATTTAACAAATATTTATCATGTAAAGTCTACACTGTGTTGTAAACTGTGTAAAGTGAAAGTGCAGTACCTATGGCGTCCTCCGGGGGCAGGTCGACGGTGTCCGTGTAGAGAAACTGCAGGAAGGATCTGTAAACAGGAAACGAGAACTGGCCGATCTCGATGACTTCCTGTTGGTCTTCTGTCCACTGCGAGCGGAACATGGACCTGAAGTGTTCACACCTGCACAAAAACACACAAATATACACAGAGTACACGTTATATTTATGTTTATAATGTGTGAAACTTACGGAAGCCGAGAGGGGTCACAACAAACACAAATGCGATGACACAACAAAAAGCCACAACAGAAATGACCGCGGGACTCGATTTTAATGCAAACACCACAACAAATACAAACGCCACAACACAAAGGCAAGCGGATCGATCAAGCGGCAAGTTAAGAAGAAGAACTACAACTTCACTTGCCGCTTGATCGGTCCGTCGGTAAATAGAGTCCCACGGTCACTTCGTTGTGGCGTTGTGGCTTTTTTGTTTGATGTGTGTTGCGGCTTTTTTGATGTGTGTTGTGGCTTGTGCTTTTTAATGTGTTGTGGCTTTTTGATGTGTTGTGGCTTTTTAATGTGTGTTGTAGCTTTTTAATGTGTTGTGGTGTGGCTTTTTGATGTGTTGTGGTTTTGTAATGTGTTGTGGCTTTTTGATGTGTTGTGGCTTTTTAATGTGTTGCAGCTTTTTAATGTGTTGCAGCTTTTTAATGTGTTGCAGCTTTTTAATGTGTTGCAGCTTTTTAATGTGTTGTGGCATTTGCATTGTGGCTTTGTAATGTGTTGTGGCTTTTTGATGTGTTGCGGCTTTTTGATGTGTTGCGGCTTTGTAATGTGTTGTACCTTTTTGATGTGTGTTGTGGCTTTGTAATGTGTTGTGGCTTTTTGATGTGTTGTGGCTTTTTAATGTGTGTTGTGGCTTTGTAATGTGTTGTGGCTTTTTGATGTGTTGTGTTGTGGTTTTGTAATGTGTTGTGGCTTTTTGACGTGTTGTGGCTTTTTGACGTGTTGTGGCTTTTTGACGTGTTGTGGCTTTTTAATGTGTTGCGGCATTTGCATTGTGGCTTTTTAATGTGTTGCGGCTTTTTAATGTGTTGTGGCTTTTTAATGTGTTGTGGCATTTGCGTTTGTGTTGTGGCGTTTGTATTTGTTGCGGCGTTTGCATTAAAATAGAGTCCCGTGGTCATTTCCGTTGTGGCTTTTTTTGATGTGTTGTGGCTTTTTGTTGTGTCGTCGCATTTGTACTTGTTGCGTTTGTTGTGACCCCTCTCGGCTTCCGTAGAAACTACAGCCAGAAGGACATTTCACCAAGAAAACACCAACAGGTCCACAGAGAGACGGCTGCAGCTGGAGGAGAGGCGGCCTCAGACAGAGCAGTGCCTCGTGTTAGCGTCTCGCCCCGGGGTCTGTTACCTGATCTTGAGCAGAGCCTTGTGCACGTGGATGTACTTCCCCTCCACGCTGAACTTCAGGTCCGACGTCTCCGGGCTGTCGAACTCCTTCCTCAGAGACTCCGCCACCGTCAGGAAGTTGTCGGTCTCCACGGAAACGAGCCGCCACATCACCGACGGCGACGCGAACCCGGCGAACACATCGTCCGTGGACACGAAGTGAGTGAGAGCAGGAAGAAGAAGAGACTGACCGCGACACTGCCCCCACATGTACACCTGAGGAACAGCAGACACCAGGACTGAACCAGGACTGAACCAGGACTGAACCAGGACTGAACCAGGACTAAACCAGGACTAAACCAGGACTAAAACAGGACTAAAACCAGGACTAAAACCAGGACTGAACCAGGACAAACCAGGACTAAACCAGGACTGAACCAGGACTGAACCAGGACTGAACCAGGACTGAACCAGGACTAAAACCAGGACTGAACCAGGACTGAACCAGGACTGAACCAGGACTAAAACCAGGACTGAACCAGGACTGAACCAGGACTGAACCAGGACTGAACCGGGACTAAACCAGGACTGAAACCGGGACTGAACCAGGACTGAACCGGGACTGAACCGGGACTAAACCGGGACTGAACCGGGACTGAACCGGGACTGAACCAGGACTAACCGGGACTGAACCGGGACTGAACCGGGACTGAACGGGACTAAACCAGGACTGAACCGGGACTAAAACCGGGACTGAACCGGGACTGAACCGGGACTGAACCGGGACTGAACCGGGACTGAACCGGGACTAAAACCAGGACTGAACCAGGACTAAAACAGGACTGAACCAGGACTAAAACAGGACTAAAACAGGACTAAAACAGGACTAAAACAGGACTAAAACCAGGACTGAACCAGGACTGAACCAGGACTGAACCAGGACTAAAACCAGGACTGAACCAGGACTAAACCAGGACTAAAACAACCAGGACTGAACCAGGACTAAAACCAGGGACTAGGACTGAACCAGGACTAAAACCAGGACTGAACCAGGACTAAACCAGGACTGAACCAGGACTGAACCAGGACTAAAACCAGGACTAAAACCAGGACTGAACCAGGACTGAACCAGGACTGAACCAGGACTAAACCAGGACTAAAACAGGACTAAACCAGGACTAAAACCAGGACTAAAACCAGGACTGAACCAGGACTGAACCAGGACTAAACCAGGACTGAACCAGGACTGAACCAGGACTGAACCAGGACTAAACCAGGACAAAACCAGGACTTAAACCAGGACTAAACCAGGACTAAACCAGGACTAAACCAGGACTGAACCAGGACTAAACCAGGACTGAACCAGGACTGAACCAGGACTAAAACCAGGACTAAAACCAGGGACTAAACCAGGACTAAACCAGGACTAAACCAGGACTAAACCAGGACTAAACCAGGACTAAAGTAGTTGTGAGTTGTGAGTACAGACCTGTCCGCTCTGGGTCTTGGCGGCTGAGGTGTGGGTTGAGTGACACGCGGCGACTTCCACAACTCTGAACAGAAGAGAAAAGTTTAAGAACCAAAACAAACAAAACTGTAGAAGAAGAGAGGAGGGAAGGGAGGAGGGAGGGAGGAGGGAGGGAGGAGCAGGAAAAGGAGGAGAGGAAACAGGAAGCAGAATCTGAACAGGATACAGGCGTGTTTGTTTATGATCCAAGGAGGCAGCAAAACATTGTGAGTGGTTTAGTTAAGGTTAAATTCCTCCGTCTCATGATTTTTAACAATTTACCGTTCTTTGTCGGTCATGATTCTGACTGGACTCAGCTGGTTGCTCTTGTTCCCTGTTCCCAGTTGGCCGTAAGTGTTTGAGCCCCAAGAGAAACAGGCGCCTTCATCAGACAGAGCGAGACAGTGACCGTACCCCGACACCAACTGAAACACAACAACAACTACTGTTACTGTGATGGAGTTTGGTGGTTTAACCAAGCCACAGGGTCTAAAATGGCCGCCTATTAACTCCCCGGTCCGAGCTCAGTGTCCATGTCTCCAGATTCTCCTTCAGCAGTGAGGTTCTTCCTCTGGCTCTGCCCATCAAACATGAGCAGTAGAGTCTTTTCTCTTGCGAACACACAGCAACAGACGCCAACACAAGCAAGTAGCACAGGCTCAAATATCATGTGGCCAATCAGAGTGAGAGGAGCAGAGTGAACGATTAAAACGCTGTTTTTAAAACAACTGAAGGATTACGAGCTGAGAAAAAGTTTATGATGTAAAAATAGGTACAAATCGTCACAAAATCCAACATTTTTGAAAGTTGTAGGAGCCTATCAGCCAAACATGAGCAGTTTGTGATTACATTGCTCTCTGAGGGAAAAAAAAAACCCTTTCTGTGCAGGAGGGACTTTTTTGATAAAATACCAGTGACTGGCCACTATGTCAAGTGGAAACAGATACAAACAGCAACATCCTTCAGGTATTTTATTAGATCCATGAGTTGAACAGGTCATGTATTGCACTAAACTGACTCCTCTGAGCTTTAAAGGTTGTATGGAGGATTTTTTTTGTTTCAAATTGTCAGTGATAGATTATAGATGCAGTCGCCTTGTAATTATGATGACCAAAAAAAAGAGAATAAAAATTCATCAACTCTGGACGTGGTGGGGCTAAACATTTGCCAATAGATAACGACACTGCCTCGTTATCTGTGAGCTGACAGGCTGTCAATCAAACTCCCTACGTTTCTAGTGTAACTGACTTGCCTGTGCTGCTGTTACGTGGTTTACGTACGACACAGACGCTGTTTACTCCACCAACACAACAGTTCTTAGCGGCTTTTTTTTACCTATATCTTCCTCGCAGTTCGCACAAAGTTTGTTGCAATGGCGACAAGAATCCAGGAGCAGTTCGCCGCTCAAAAGTCAGTTTTTGAGGTGAAAGAAGAAGACAAGGGGAAAAGCAGCGAAGCCAAACTAAGGTGATTCTTGTAGATTCATTCCAGCGATGGTGCGACTGAAGCAGACGCAGGGTTTAAAGACTGAAGCACTGGTCCACAAATTACTCCTGGACAGGAAACTTCTGCTTATTATGAAAACGTACTTTATTTCCAAGAGCGACACAAACGTTTTTCAGGACACGAAAGCGATATCCTGTGTCTGAAAACGTCATTTTCAAGGCAAAGAAAGAGTCCGCTTGCTGCTGCGTGTTGTAGCTAGTTCATTTGCACTGAATCTCCGTGCACTCTTCTCCTCTTACTGCTCCTGTCCCCGCTGCCCGATCCGCTCTTCCCCCTGCTCCTCACTTCTCCGGGCACGGAATCTCCGCGTACCGCTCCCCTCTCCTCTCCCTGCTCCCTGCTCCCCGCTCCGCTCTTCTCCCTGCTCCTCACTTCTCGTCCGTGCACGAAATGTCCGCGCCCCCCCTCCCCCTGCTCCTCACTTCTCCGTCTTGCCTAACCAACACTGTAGTTAGTTGTTTACAAGTCATGTGCACCGGCTGTAAACAAACCTGTTTGTGGCGTAAGGAGGAGGAGGGAGGAGGTGTTTCTACGTAGGAGCTGTGGGGGAGGGAGGTGGTTTCACGCATGCGCAACGTTTGAAAAAGGACAAACAGTCGCTGGATTTCTCCTTCCTTGGAAAATCCTCTATACAACCTTTAATCCATGTTCTAATGTTCTCTCCTCAAAATCAGAGCTGGAGTTGTGTTCGTTTCATTCACGTGTTTGAGTAACTCTTTATTAAAGAGTTGTCTGTCTACATCTACAAAGCTCAAAATGCTCTGTCATGATGTCATGAAGTGCTAGTTTTCAAGGCAATAGCTCCTTTTACCTAGTAGTAATAGTAGTAGTAGTAGTCATCATTGTAGTAGTAGTAGCAGTACCTGTTGTATACAGATTCCCTGCAGCGCTGACACTCGACTTGGGGCCAGTTGGTTTCCGTTGTTCCCGATCCCGAGCTGACCGTTCCCATTGTACCCCCAACCGTACACCTGCAGGACAACACAGGAATTACACCTGCAGGACAACACAGGAATTACACCTGCAGGACAACACAGGAATTAAAGCGAAAGTTTGAGAAGAAAAGTAGAAAAGCAACAAAACACAGAAGCGTGTGCGAGCTGTAAAACAGAATCCCTCTGCTTATGTCATCACAGGAAAACTCCAAACAAAACACAGACACAGTTTAGGCACAAGGAAGGACTTTTACTGACACTTTAAACCTTCATTTCACTAAATAAAACTGAGATCGTTTATTTGTTTGAGTCTGATCACAACTATTGTACTATTAGTTGCTTGGTAACGGTTTTGGAATTCCTCTTCATATTGTTTTCGAAAATATTTTTGGGATTTTGCTCCAAAGGCGTCACAGCCCCAAAAGTACTTTAGAAATACAACGTAATTATAAAGATGCATGTGCTGTAATTATATCTATAGTATTTATAGAAGTAGTAACAGCAGTAGTAGGAGAACTCTCTCTCAAAAAATTTTAAAAAAATCATGAAAAAGTTACATATTTTTTCTTACTTCTCTCTGCGTCATAAGTCTCTGGTTTGACTCTGAAACCAGTGACAAAAAAAATTGAACATTTTATGATATTCAAATTGTTTTAGATGGACTAAGAGTAGCAGTATCAGCAGTATCAGTAGTATCAGCAGTATCAGCAGTATCAGCAGTATCAGCAGTATCAGCAGTATCAGCAGTATCAGCAGTATCAGCAGTATCAGTAGTATTCGCAGTAGTGGTATGAGTATTCTTGGTGTGTACCTCTCCGTTGTCGCACACACGCTCATGGAGGAGGTCTGTCCGCAGCTGATAGACACAGCAGTGCGTCCCTGTAGCGCTCCGGTCACTCGGCGGGGATACGGCTGATTGGCTGTGGAGCCGGAGCCGATCTGACCGCAGTTGTTGTAACCCCACGCAAAAACCTGCACGAGGAAGAGGATTAGACCAGGACTAAACCAGGGACCGGACCAGGACTAAGAGATCCAGACCTCTCCGTCGTGGGCGAGGGCGAGCGAGTGGTGGGAGCCGCAGCTGACCTGGACGATGCGTTTGTTGGTCAGATTTGCTGTGACTAAAACCGGACTCAGACCCTGGTTTGTGTTTCCGTTTCCCAGCTGACTGTAGCCGTTATGACCCCAGGCGTACAACTGACCGTCTGAAACACAAATGAACAGGAAATATACTGAAAAGTGTCTTTTTTTCTTCTCACTCAGTTTCACTTCATGGATCGAGCTAAAATATTATTTTAACAGATCCGCAGCTTTGGCCTCTGACTGGCCAGTCTACAGTGGCGTGTGCAGTACCTTCAGTGGCCAGCAGGACGTGGGGCCCGCTGCCGTAGCTCAGACTGACCACTCTCTTCCCCCGGAGGAAGTCCACTTTCTTTGGGACGATGGAGCTGAGGGAGTCGCCTGTGCCCAGACACCCACTGCTGTTCAGCCCGATCACAAACACCTGGAAACACACAACAGATATAAGTATATAAGTATATATATATATATATATATAATATATATATATATATATATATATATATATATATATATATCTGTACAGGAAAAAAACACAACTCTAGAGCCACATCAGCTCGTTTGAGATTATAATGTGTTTAACGCAGCTTTGCCACATTTGTGTGTTTTACAGAAACTAAACTTAAAACCACATGACTCATTTACATACAGAGCACAGAGAAGTCAAACGAGTGAAGTGGCAAATTTTAAATGTCGAGATGTCACCCACCCCTATTTACTGATACAGCACTGGGGATATGGGGTGCTCTACATGTACCTCTATGATGTAATGTTCAGCAGTTACCAAGGAAACATTCCTCATTCCTCACTGTTAAAACACTGTCTGAATAATGTGCTTTGGTCAATATCATATCATCTGACACAGACGGACACTTCAGAACATGTTTGTAAAGGTTTAAACTACAGGGTCAGCAGTACGGCTGTGCAAAAATACCGACATATCGATATATCGTATTGCTTGATGTGATGATACGGTATCGATATCATGGGCTGCTGTATCGATATATCAACAAGAGTATTTTTTGGTTTATTGTACTAAATTATTTTGTTACAGCTACAGTTTTGTTGTTTGTTCAGAGGAAGGAAACTCATTTATGTGAAACATTTGACATTTTACTGTTTTGAGGATTAAAATGTTTGTGCTTCATATGAACTTTGCGCAAGAAGTGGTTTAACAAAGACTTTTAGTATCACAGACATGATTTAGATTTTATTTTTATTGAACCGTATCGAATCGATATGAAATATATTGTATTGAATCAAAAGGTCATATGTATCGTATTGTCAACTTCTTAATGATACCAGCCCTAGTCAGCAGCTTTTGCACAAAATAAGACCCCATGGGCACACGCGGAGGGCACCTGACACACGGGGAGGGCACCTGACACACGGGGAGGGCACCTGACACACGGGGAGGGCACCTGACACACGGGGAGGGCACCTGACACACGGGGAGGGCACCTGACACACGGGGAGGGCACCTGACACACGGGGATGGCACCTGACACACGGGGATGGCACCTGACACACGAGGAGAGCACCTGACACACGAGGAGAGCACCTGACACACGAGGAGAGCACCTGACACACGGGGAGGGCACCTGACACACGGGGAGGGCACCTGACACACGAGGAGAGCACCTGACACACGAGGAGAGCACCTGACACACGGGGAGGGCACCTGACACACGGGTCTCAGTACCTCGTTGCTGTGAGTGACGTAGATGGCTTCATTGGCCGTCGTCCCAAACACACACGCCTGTCTGATGCTCCCCAGCTCCTCCGGACTCAGCAAGGAAAACAAAGGCCACCGACTCAGGTCCACCATGGCTCCCCCAAGTCCGAGTCCTGGGTCCGAGTCGGGTCTGGCGGGTCCCGAGCCGGAGGAGGAGGAGGGTCCGGGGGAAAAGACAGAACTCAGGGGCGAGCGAGGAGAGGCGAAGGGGGAGGAGCGAGAGGCGTTTGGGGGGGAGGAGGGGGCGGAGTCTGGGGCATCTCCAAAACTGCTGGGAAAAAAAAAATAAAAATCAAACCACAAAAACAAATGTAAATTATTAACCAAAGTCAGAAGAAGCAACAAGTTTGAGTTTTAACCGACTCTTGTGAAGCTTTAAGTCATGTTCTAATGTTGTTCCATCCTCAAAAACAGAGCTGGAGTTGTGTTTGTTTCATTCACACATGTTTGAGTAACTCTTTATTATTTGTCTGTCTACATCTCCAAAGCTCCAAATGTTTTGTTCCACCTTGTCATGTCATGAAGTGATGAAGTGAACAGCTCCTTTTCCATTTAATCGCGAATCCAGGACTGAAAATGATCCAGATGATTCTAGTGAAGGTGTGTGGAGTTTAAAAACAAAGCAGAGCTCTTCCTGTATCATCACATGATGACATCACAAGGTGGAACAGAGTGTTTTCAGACCCAGAGTTTGTTTTCGTCCTGTTTGTTCTGCTCCCTGCTCCTCTTCCTCAGAGTCTCGTGATGTTGCTGTGACGTGTCGCTCAGCTGATTTAAACAGGTTTAAACAGTAGAGGAAGAACTCTACTTAGAAAAGGAGCTGTTCACTTGAAAATACTTTATCACTTGATGACATCACAAGGTGGAACAGAGTTTATTAGTCTGTCTACGTTTCCAAAGCTCTAAACAGAGTTACTCAAACATGTGAATGAAACAAAACACAACTCCAGGTCTGTGTGTGATGAGAAAATGACATTAGAACAGATCAGAAAATAGCGTAAAATTCTCATTATCATGCAAATTATCTTAATAAAAATAAGGAAATAAATCTTAAAAACCTCTTGAAGCCAAAAATAAAAAGCCAAACTAAAGCCACAGTCTGTAACTTTTTAGCCAATAAATAAATAAACACATTTATTTGTGTTTTTGGCACTGAAAATCTTCCTTACTGTGATGACTGGGCTCGCATCTCCACAAACCTGACTCTGCTCCTGCTCGTTTCCATGGAAATATCGTTCCTTTGTCTATAATACTCCGCAGTATAACAAAAAACAGATTTATCTCCAGGGAGAATGTTCCGTAGTGTGGTTTTAACTTTCTATTTTTTTCCAATGAATCGCGCAGGAGACGTGCCACCTCCAGAAAGTTCCACACTGTAGCTTTAAACGCAACAATTTGGATAAGAGAAACAAGTAATAGCAAATATGATCACGTTTTTTAATCAAGATCAGCTAATTGTTTCTTAAATTTTCACAGACAAAGCCACAGAATCTAAAAATGAAAGTGGAGTCTGGAGTTAGCGCAGGTGCTAGTTGTTTACATTCACTTTAAGCCGTTTTTTTTAGCTCGTTTCGTTTTAAAGCACACATTCACAGTCATGCCGCATGCTAAATCCGTATCTGCTCAATGCGATGAGAAGTAAAAACTCAAGCAAAACGCAAAACCAAACCTAAAAAAATGCGTTTAAAGCGGTTTGTTTTGATGCAAACGTGGAGCGGCGGCGGCGGCTAACGGCTAAAGCTAATCGTTGTTTACGTGTTTATTTCTGCTTCTTTTTACCTACAACAGCGCTCCATCCCCGTGACAACACTGAGGAAATGTACAGAAACACAGACGGATCACAGGGACACGTGGAAACAAAGACTTTTAACGAGTTTAAGGGTGAAAATAAGCAAAAAATTACCGACTAAAGGCGAACCGTGCGCTTCCTCTGTCTGCAGCCCGGGGGCGCGCTCTGCCGGCGGGGAGCGGGACTGCACCGACACGGGACAAATATCAGGAAAAAAAATAAATAAATTGTACAATAAAATATAAAATACACAGAAATTACTTTTACTTTTTAAAAATCAATTTTTGTGTATAAAAGTATATACATTTTTATTAATTTATACATTTAAAAATAAAAAATTTAAATCAGGAAATAGCGTAATATTCGGTTGTACTACATTACGCTATTTCCTGATCTGTTCTAATGTCGTTTCAAACAGACCTGGAGTTGTGTTTTGTTTCATTCACACAAACCCTGCACATTTAGCCGGTCCCACCTTGTGATGTCATCATGTGGTGATACAGGAAGTGCTCTACTGTGTTTTTAAACTCCACACATCTTCACTAGAATCATCTGGATCATTTTCAGTCCTGGAGTTGCCCGATCTCGACTGAACTAAAGGGAAAAGGAGCTGTTCACCTGAAAAATACCACTTGATGACGTCACAAGACTAATGATAAAGTGTCTCTAAACGTTCAGGACCAAGGACAGAGATTAGAACAAATCCAGGGACTAAACCAGGTCTGAATCCACAGGTGGGAGTGTGTGTGTGTAAATGTGTGTGTGTGTAAATGTGTGTGTGTGGAGCACGTGGGAAACTGCGTAAAAAGCGGGATTCCACGCGCCACTGCGTCAAGATGCACGAGCGCGCCGGTGTTCCCCTCAGACCCACGCGCACAGAACAGGGCACGCGCGCTCTCTACTTTCATGAACTCATTAAAAACAACAACAACAACAACAAAACTACAAAACTGCAAAAGTCTGAGCGTTTATCGCGTTTATCTGAGCGTCTGGTGACGTCACGAGGAGAGACCGAGTTTCAGCCCCGATGAAGCGCACGAAACCGGGGGAGGAGACAGGAGGAGAGAGAGAAAGAACAGAGGGATAGAAAATGGAGAAGAGGAGAGGGAGGGAAAGAGAGAGAGAGAAGAGAGAGACAAGCAGAGAGAGAGAGTGAGAGAGTGAGGGGGAGGAAGAGAGGAGAGAGAGGGGGGGGGGGGGGGGGGACGTCCCTTGCGTCAGCGGTGGTTCCGCGCGAGTTTGACGCAGCGCGCGCGTGGATCAAATATTCATCAGAGTTTGTGAAGAGCGCGCGCAGAGATTCCCCGCAGTGATTCGGAGCGGAGCGGAACCGCGCGGACACCGCGCTGCCGCTGACGGACGGGCGCGCGGACCCCAGCCCAAACAGACTCTAATATGCAATGGTTTTTTGGGAAGAAGCCCACAGCTGCCGCGTACCGCCGACCGCACGCTAGTGCCACCGCATGTCTGTCCGAAGACGCGCCGCGCGGCAGACGACGCCATTTGAAGAAGAGGAAAAGCGCGCGGGGGCTTTCCACGGCGCGGCAGAGACACGAGGAAAGCGGCACCGCGGGGCGGCACAGCAGAGGCGCGGCAGAAGCACAAGACGCGCCGCCGCTCGCGGGGCAAGGCGTCAAAGCGCGCGGCGAAGCGGAATTCCTCCTGCTGCTCTGGTCTATGGTGCAGATCTGCGCGCTGACCGCGCGGTGCGAGCCCTGCCGCTGGCCGCGTGCGGCATGTGAGCAGCGCGCGGGACCGGGCTTCATGCGGTGGCTGAATCTGAAGGTGCCGCATCGCCCCGCCGCCTCTGCCGCATCTGCCGCCTCTGCCGCCCCGTCCCCCCCAGTGTCGGCCTCCTCCATGCGGTTCGTCTGGACCGTGTTCAGGAAAGGCGCGCATATGCTGCAGTGTCTCTGTGGAAAGAGCCTCAAGAAAAACAAGGATCCAACCGGTGAGTCTGCCGCGTGCATGTGCGCTCCGCTCACGCGTCTGCCGCGTCTGCCGCGCGGCGCTCCGGCCGCATTGGTCGCAGTTGTGCAGAAAGAGGAAGTTGAGCGCGCGTGGTTTTACTGCGGACACTTTGGGTCTGGACTTGGGCTGGGTTTGGTGAGACCAGGTCTAGACCAGGTCTAAACCAGGTCTGAACCTGGACTAAACCCAGACTAAACCCGGACTAAACCCGGACCAAACCCGGACTAAACCCAGCCTCGTGTCCACTCGTCTCCTCCACGCGCGTCATTGGGATTCCACGCGCATCCAGCTGTTGTGGAGTCGCGTGGACAGTTCCTGCTCGTCTGTGATTGGCCGCAGGCGCAGATGTGGGTCACGTGTTCTGTTTATTGACTCGGTTTGGTTTGACCTGGTTCTGTTGGACTCGGTGTGTCCTGATTTTCACTGTTTACGAGTCAGAACGGGCATCAGGTTTAATCCCGCCCCAGTGTGTTGATGTGGGAGAGAAAACACGAGTCAATAGAGAAAGTTTAGTCCTGGTTTAGTCCTGGTTCAGTCCTGGTTCAGTCCTGGTTCAGTCCTGGTTTAGTCCTGGTTCAGTCCTGGTTCAGTCCTGGTTTAGTCCTGGTTCAGGACCATGAACAGCTCAGTAATCTGACTTTATGATAAAGTTCATTGTGTAAAGTTAAAGCCACAGTACGGAACAGTTTGTTTCTATGGCGACTCTGTTGAACTCTTGACTCCCACACTTGCCCCGGGGCAGACTGCACAAGTGTGGCTGCCAGTCTGACCCGACTCCCACATCACCACATCAACACGGAACAAGTCCTGGTTTATTTAGTCCCAGTCCTGGTTCAGTCCTGGATTTAGTCTGGTTTGGTTCTGGTTTAGTCCTGGTTTAGTCCTGGTTTAGTCCTGGTTTAGTCCAGTCCTGGTTTAGTCCTGGTTTATCCTGGTTAGTCCTGGTTTAGTCCAGGTTTAGTTCTGGTTTAGTCCTGGTTTAGTCCTGGTTTAGTCCTGGTTTAGTTCTGGTGTTTGTCTGTGACACAAAACAAAACAAAACAGGAAAATATTTAAATAATTTTATTGTGAATGAACTGAAGCTTCATTCATACAACTACAATCTCTCTCTCTCTCTCTCTCTCTCTCTCTCTGTCTCTCTCTTCCCTCCTCCTCTCTTCCCTCTCTCTTCTCTTCTCTTCTCTTCTCTATCACTCTTGTTCCTCTCTCTCTCCTCTCCCTCCCTCTCCTCTTCTCCATTTTCTATCCCTCTGTTCTTTCTCTCTCTCCTCCTGTCTCCTCTCTTCCTCCTCTTCCCTCTCTCCTCCCTCTCTTCTCTCTCTCCTCCTGTCTCCTCTCTCCTCTCTCTCTCTCTCTCTCTCCTGTCGTCTTTATGTTTTATTCTCTCCGTTTCTCTTCAGGTTATTTTTGTTCCGTGTGTCAATAAAACATGAGCAGTGTGAAGTACTGTAGTACTTTATGTAGTACTTTATGTAGTACTTTATGTAGTACTTTATATAGTACTTTATGTAGTACTTTATATAGTACTTTATGTAGTACTTTATGTAGTACTTTATATAGTACTTTATGTAGTACTTTATGTAGTACTTTATGTAGTACTTTATGTAGTACTTTATGTAGTACTTTATGTAGTACTTTATATAGTACTTTATGTAGTACTTTATGTAGTACTTTATGTAGTACTTTATATAGTACTTTATGTATAGTACTTATAGTAGTACTTATGTTACTTATATAGTACTTTATGTAGTACTTTATATAGTACTTATATATAGTACTTTATTAGTACTTTAGTATTTATGTAGTACTTTATATAGTACTTTATATAGTACTTTATGTAGTACTTTATGTAGTACTTTATATAGTACTTTATGTAGTACTTTATGTAGTACTTTATGTAGTACTTTATATAGTACTTTATGTAGTACTTTATGTAGTACTTTATAGTACTTTATGTAGTACTAGTACTTTATAGTACTTTATGTAGTACTTTATGTAGTACTTTATATAGTACTTTATGGAGTACTTTATGTAGTACTTTATGTAGTACTTTATGTAGTACTTTATGTAGTACTTTATATAGTACTTTATGTAGTACTTTATGTAGTACTTTATATAGTACTTTATGTAGTACTTTATATAGTACTTTATGTAGTACTTTATATAGTACTTTATGTAGTACTTTATGTAGTACTTTATGTAGTACTTTATATAGTACTTTATGTAGTACTTTATATAGTACTTTATAGTACTTTATGTAGTACTTTATGTAGTACTTTATGGAGTACTTTATGTAGTACTTTATATAGTACTTTATGTACTTTATATAGTACTTTATATAGTACTTTATGGAGTACTTTATGTAGTACTTTATATAGTACTTTATGTAGTACTTTATATAGTACTTTATGTAGTACTTTATGTAGTACTTTATATAGTACTTTATGTAGTACTTTATATAGTACTTTATGTAGTACTTTATATAGTACTTTATGTAGTACTTTATGTAGTACTTTATGGAGTACTGTGGAAAAGTACACTTACTCTTACTTCAGTAGTACTTTAGTACTTCCCCAAAATACTTTTTACTTGAGAGTCATTTGTTAAACTACTTTGTACTTTGTACTTGAGTAAAAGTATTTTAAAGTAACAAAACTTTTACTCGTCGACACGGAACAAACTGGAGCCTCAGAGTCTGACACACGAGGACTTAGACCTGGTCCAGACCCGGTCTAGACCCAGTCCTGGTCCAGACCTGGTTCAGTCCTGGTCCAGACCTGGTCTAGACCCGGTCTAGTCCCAGTCCTGGTCCAGACCTGGTCAGACCTGGTTCAGACCTGGTCTAGACCCGGTCTAGTCCTGGTCCAGTCCTGGTCCAGACCTGGTTCAGACCTGGTCCAGACCCGGTCCAGTCCTGGTCCAGTCCTGGTCCAGACCTGGTTCAGTCCTGGTTCAGACCCGGTCTAGACCCGGTCCTGGTCTTTATCTAATCTGTGGTCCGTGTGGAGGCGCTGGTTTGATTCCCGTTGAGTGTCAGACCCTCAGCCCTTC